AATTTCAAAGGCTGGGATGGCCTTTAAGACCCTAAGTGGTCGGTTATTTGAGGACCCCCTTCAGCCACAGAAACTGCCACTGCACTGAGATTCGTTTGGAAGCTCTCCTTGTAGGCTTTCCTCCCACTTCAGTTGGATTTGCAAACCCGGGGTTGGGGCTGCCTTCTTTATGCCCCCCACCCCACCCCAAACTGGAATGCATCAACATATGTAGAATCAGCCTTTCCAAATTTGGCCTCCTTTGGTGATGAGAAGGCAAAACTTGCTGGAGAAGACAGTCCTGCTGGGGAAGCCTGAAGCCTTCAAACCTGCTTTCAGGTCAGAGGCAAAAGAACATGAAGAAGACCAGGTGTGCGAAGGACGAGCTCCACAACAAAAGCTGTGGCTTTGACTTTGTAAGAGCTGAGTGGGCCAGTCCGGGGCAGGCCGTTCTGGAGCATTTACATTCATGGGTTCAGCGTAAGTCAGAGATGACTCGGGGGCCTCCAGCAGCAACCACCAGCCCTATTTAGCTACATCTCCTATCATCCCTATCCCATCAGTCAGCCAGGGAAAGGTTGGCATGATGGCGAAAGTAGTGCTGAAAGCCCCTGAATTTGGGTAACTCTTTGACATGACTCATAGATCTGCTTGCTGAATTAAAAAAAATGTTTCAGTTTCAACTTAGAAGGGTATTTTAGACTGCTGTTTTAAAGTGCTGCTTTGGTTGACTGCTTTTTGTGTTTCTGTGTATTTTTAAAAAATGAAACAGTTCTGACAAGGCCTCTGTGGGAAAAGGAAACCTAACTTTGGCACCTCTGCCGGGTTTATAAGCTGGTGTATGTTCTTCGCCTAACATTCACACAAGCAAGTCACACATGCAACTCTTAGGTTTTCCCTGTGAGTGAGTGGCAAGGGTCAAGCTGCCGGCTGAATTCGGAGTTTTCAGAATGGCGGAGAACTTTTCCTGGTTTGATCAGTTGAGGCAGCTCAAGATGGAGCACAGAAGGATCTCCACACGCCAGAGCTGTAAAATTTGAAAAGCCCAGGAGGTCGGAAGGTAAAGGATCTGGAGAGGAGAATGTTGCTGGCTGCAGCTGCCACTTTCCCCTCTGCTTTTTGGCTTCAGAGAATACAACCATTTGCTGCTTTCTTGTGAACAGAAATATTTGGCTGCTGTGCAGAGAGGTACCCAGAAATTGGCTGCCTTGGGTTGCCACCTTGCAGGATTGGTGTGTGATAGGAAAACAGCAGCTGCTGTGCTTCCATCCTGGTTAGAAAAGCTGCAGCAGATGCCGTCTGTGCTTCTCCCTGCCATCTTCATCTTCACAACAACCTTGTAAGGTTGAAAGGGAGAGTGGCAGACTTGGGGTCACCATGGGAGCTCCATATCTTTGTAGGAATGTGAACACGGATCTCCCCAGCCTGACTGGAGAGGTACTGACTAGTATGGACACTGCAAGCTGGGGAGAGTCATGCCTTACTAGGCATCTGCACCAATTTCCCGATTCTGAACATGCTACAGTCTCCCCGCATGAGCTTTCTTCAGAAGCTCTACCTGTCAGTATGCGCTGGTGATCTCTAAACTAGACTACTGCACTGCACTCCACAGGGGGCTGCCCTGGCAGACTGTTCAGATGCTGCAGCTTGCACAAAATGTGGCAACCAGTGTGGCAACTGAGTCCAGAAGGTCAGGATATATCACACCAATGCTGGCCTGGTTGTGTTCTGAGTCCAACTCAGGGTACTGGATGCAGCCTATAAATCCCGTAGATCTGGGGACCACAATATTTGATGGAACACCTCTCCCAGCTGCAGTCTATCTGGATGCTGCATACAAGAACTCCACCGTCTCCAACGTGGAGATGGTGACTTAGTGGTGGCCCCCAGTTATAGGAACAAGCTTTCCACTGAGCTCAGCCTGGTGCCGACACAACTCCATCCGTTTGGTGCTAGGCTCAGACTGTTTTCCATAGCAGGTCATTTAATTAGTGTCCTATAGTATATTGGGGCCTTGTGTTAGCTGTTTAACCGGACTTGTGATTTGATTTGTGTTGGCTATTGTAGCTTTTTAAATTTGGTTTTAAATTTGGCTTTTAAATTATGTTTTTACTGTTGTCAGTATTTTTATATTGTATTTTTATCATACTTTGTGTGCTATCGTAATCTGCCCAGCAAACTTCATCTATTGGGCAGTATAGAAATATCATCATCATCATCAATAATATAATAATCACCTTGGATGAACTGATTTTCCTATTTCATTAATACTGTTGTAACCAGACAACAAGAAACACAGAAAAAGAAGGGAGGTTTTTGCTTTATCCCATATTGTTCAATATGGACAAGGCTGCACAGCTGTAACTAAGAATGTGCAAACTTTGCCAGAGCCGCACCTAACATGGACTGGGAGCTGCACAGCGGTTCTTTCCGCCCCACTTCCTGAGTGCCGCAGAAGTGCGAGGGTGGGGAGCATGCTTGCACCTCATTCCTTGTCTTTGAGGAAGCCCCCCCCCCCAAAGGCCCTGCTGCGCAGAACCAATTAGACCCTCTGGTGCTGGGCCCTTTTTGGACCCAAATCCACAGAGGTCCATTGGCCGCAGAAGCTTCTCCACTTACTCCAGCAAAGCGCATTCTGTGAGTCCCTTCCTCCTCGTGGATTTAAGCCCCGTGCTGAAGCTGGCCGCCCCTTCCCAGTTCCTCATTTGCACAACTGTTCGAAATCAGTTCAGACAGTAAAAAGAGGCCTGGAAGTTTGTATTCCCCAAGACCCCCAGAGAAACAGCATGCATCAGGCCTTCCTGTGACCGGAGAGCTCTCTGCTGTGGAAATTATAATGGTTTCTCTTCTTCCAAACCATTTTTTGCATAATGAATACCCACGCAGGCTGGCCTGGGGTGGGGGGATTGTGAGTAAGAGACTGGGACTTCCCCCCATAATGATCTGCGTCCTGCAAGTCCCCATCCCACCCGTCCAAGAGAATGTTCTTAATAGGATTGAGTTGGTGCCTGGCCCAACTTGGTCAGTGGGCACATAATCATTAAAACGTTCATTCAGTTTGGTACATAAAGAGCCATCTAACTCTTCAGTCTAAACTCAGCTGCAGAGATGCTTTTGACGCTGAGCTGCCCGTCAGTGCCTGCTTTTGGGCAACGGGCACATCTGGCCATTTGTCCCGGGCACCACCACAAGATGGCTGCCCTTGGAGTCATGGCAAAGGTCAAGTAAAACGCCCACAGGCTGTGGACAAGCCAGAGGCTGGATCCCAGCACACAGATCGGCTTGCTTGCACGCACCGTCCTCGGCCCCCACAGAAGCCTTTCCACAGCAATCCTGTCTGCTGGGAAGCATTGGGCTATTTTTTGTCTTTTTAAGTGGGGGGGGGGGCTTAAGGCTCTTCGGTGGGCACCAAGCAAGGTGTCTGAGGGCGCACTGGCACTTGCGGGCTCCCGTGTCTTCTATGTCTTCTAGCCCTGCTTTAGAAGTGCAGCGCCCTTGTCCAGGAGAATGACCTGGGCTCCATAGGCACGTACCCCGTGCTTTCCAGCCAGTGGCAGAGCAGCAACTCGGCGGGCAGAACACGCCACGCTCGATCTCCAGCAGCGGGCTGGTACGCCTCTTCCCTCAGCCCTGGAGACCCACAGCTGGTCCATCTCCACAAAACTGGGCCTGATGGAAAAGGCTGCAAGTTGTCCCGTTGTTAAAAAATGAAGAAATCCAAGGCGCCCCTGGCACTGACAAGAAAAACCAGAGTTCTCCGGGGGAGCACAATCAAAAGAACATTTGCCGTTTGTTCAGACATGCAGTAAATATGTGTGGCATGTAGGGAGAGAGTCCTGTCCATGGAGTAGTATGAAAATGAACTGAATAAATAGGTAGCCCCCCGGGAGGGACTGCCGAGGTGGAGTTTGTACAGAATGCTTTTATAACCTATCAGTTACATACGCAGTTTGGAGGGTGGGGGGAATCAGTTTGCTCGAAGCACACGAGGAGAAGATAATAGGGATGAACGGATTAAGACGCCCCAACACAAAAAGAAGAATCTTCAGGACAGGCTAACAAAGAGCGTACCTAAGAGTGCACTTGAGCAGGGCAGGCAGACATCGGTGCACCTAAGGCACACCTGGAGAGCAAAGCTTCGAACATGATCAGGACAGGGTTGCCTTTAGGCCTTCGGTCTGCAGCTGCTCTTGCAGGGTCAGCCTTTCGGCGGCCATATTAGGGTGGAGCTTTTGCTCCGTTGGTCCTGGCAGCTCCAGGAGCTGCATCTGGTCTCAGCACAGGGCCACGGATGGGCAAACTCAGGCCCCCGCGGTTGCTACGACGGGGCATGGGCAGAAGGGTGTTCATCTTGCTCCTGCCCCAGCCGACTTGCCCAAAATCAGGGCGGAACGGCTGCCTCGGGAGTCAGCAGAGGAGAGGAAGGCTAAAGACATCTCCCCCCGCCATGGTCCCTGTGCGCATGGCTGCTTCGGGGCCCCCAAGGATATGGGCAAAGCTTCAGGGGCGCCGGAAGGAGAAGCCAGCACAGCTTCCAGGCCGGCCATGGGCAGCGCAGGCGCAGAGCTGACGAGCAGCAAGGGGGGCCGCATGGCCGGGGTCTGCTGGCGGCCTACGGGTTGTGCCGGCCGGGCCAAGAGCATAACTTGCCTGCCCACCCCGCAAACCTAGCGGCCCACGGTAGGTTTAATTCAGTGGGGTTGCTGTGGGACTGAAAAGGGCGCGACGCCTCCGCTTTCCGTTTTCTGTGCCGCAGCGGAATCGGCAGAGCGGTGCCCCTCAGCCTCGGGCAACTTTCCACAGCTGCGCTGCCCCAGCGCGTCCCTCTGAACAGCCTTCTGGCTTCTGACCACACGCTTGCCACGTGCTAAGCAGTGGCTGCAGAGCGGGGGCAGCCCATAATATTTCCGTGTGCCGTGGGCACCCGTGGCTTGCACCACCCACAGCCCTCTGCACACAACTGGAAAGAGAACCACCAATCTGAGAAAATGGGGGTTTTCGGTGTGCTGTTTATGAACACGCTCTCCGTGTTGCAACTTCTCTCCTTTCTGTTTGACTGTGCCACCAACAGATGACAAGACGCTCTGCGGAACCATCACGAGGCTGAAGTTTCCAAAATTGCTGTTTAGCCAGCAACAGATTTCCAGAGGGGGAGGGGCAGAGCGCAGCAGCTGGAAGGTATCTGGTGCTCCGTTCATCAGAGATCTGTCTGTACGCAGCGCACAGAGAGATGCTAATCTTGAAAGCCGTGCTGTATTTTTCACTTAGATGTGAAATTGAAAAAGTTCAAAGGGCAAAGGATGTGGCGGACCGGACAAGATCCGATGCTGTGTCACGTGGGGCGCTGCCCTTGCTGTGTGGGCACAGCCTCTGAGGCATCCCAAAGCTGATTTGGAGATCCATGCCCGCTTTTCTTGATTTGTCATTGCCATCTGTGTATTAAAGAACAAGGCAGAAAGTAAGCCTTCCAGTTGGAGGGAATTGATGTGTTTCAGAGGGAACAGAGATTTAGGGAAAATTGGGTGCAATTGTACGAGCTTGAATTTCTTTTTAAGTGTTCTGACTGAACTCTGTTTGAACTTCTGAGCAAATAAGGAACTGGGACCTCTCAGCGCCAGCTTCAGCATCGGGCAGCAAGCGGATTGTGACAAGCGACAGAGGCGCTTTTCGGGCCGAGATGAGGGTGCTTCACTGGGCCCTTTCGCTCCTGCTGGGGATCTGCTCCAGTGAGTACTGAGGCTCAAAGAAAATGGACCTCCATGTGCATGGGGAGGAGGGAGGCCTGGATTTGCAGCAAGGGTTCCCCTGGGAGAGGGTGGGGCCCCGATCCCATAGAGTAGCCAGCCAGAGCTGGGGGTAGGTACATGAGGGGGTGTCATGTGGAGGTGGGAAGAGACCTGTTTTCCCCTGCGAAGGAGGGCAGGATATGTTCCGATGGAGCGAAGCTCAGGGAGCCAAGGTTCAGTATGGATGCCAAGCAATAATTCCCGATGGAAACGACCCCGAGGGTATGGAATGGGCTTCCACAGGAGGTGGCTGATGCCCCATCGGTGAGGGTGTTCAAGGAGAGATTGGACAACCACATGTTGGGGATTACATGAGCGGAGCTGGCTGGAGCCAGGGGTCAGACTAGATGACTGGGGAGACCCCTTCTGACTCACTCAGCTTCTATGTTTCTATGTGTATGTTTTGTATGCTGTTTGGGGCTGGGACCAGGCTATGCGGGAGAGCGCCAACAATTCAAGCCAACCTAAAATAAAATAAAAATCAGATTTAGGCTAGCATGAAGGAAGTCGATTTCATGTTCTTCCCCAGATGGCTATGCTGACTCTTTGAGCTTGGTGTTGAATTTGGGTGGAAAGTCATAACGTTTTCTTACTCACGTGAACCCAGCTCATCTTCCAGGAGCGGATTTGTGGCACTGAGTCATCCATCTAGCCTGCCATTGCCACCTCCGCGCAACTCAAGGGCTGGCTGGAGTGTGCAAGGGCCCCGTCCCCGCAGGGGCCCACGGATGGACCCCCGGGGTGCCTCTCGCTTCGGCCCCAGGAATGCTGCTGGAGGGGAGGACTGGCTCCCGGGTGCTCTTGGCATCTCACGCTCTTTCCCAGCGCCAGGGCTGACTTTAAAGGAACGGAGGGCACACTCATTCCAGTCTGCCTTTGGTGCTTAAAAAACACGTACTTACTTATTTGTAGGGGTATGTACAAGGAGCCCTGAACAGCAGACTCAAAACTTTTATCGTAAATGAATGAAAATTCAGTGGTGAATTTTCACAAGCACGTGCAAATAGCTCTTATATCGCAGAAACACCTTAGGTGCCCGGTGACCTTCTAGGAAGGCTGCACCCTGCGCGGAGGCTCTGGGACTTCGCACGGCTCCGTATACCGGCTGCACCCTCGCTTGTGCCCTTGCAGGTTGCTCCGCGCGTTCTCTGCGCTATCATTACGTGTCTTGGTCCGAGCCCGGCCAGAGGTTGCCGCGGTTCATGGCCCTGGGCTACGTGAACGACCAGCCCTTCATCCACTACGACAGCCAGGGGGACACCCAGAGGGCCGAGCCTCGGGCGCCTTGGGTGTGGGAGATGGAGAAGGACGACGGCCGGTTCTTGGAGAGGGAAACCCAGCGCTTTCGCAACGCCGAAGTGTTCTTCAGAGAGAACCCGGCTCAGCAGAGCAGCTCAGGAAACCACACTGCAGGTGCGCGACGGTTGCGGGGGTTGCAGATCTCCATGCTGCCCTGTATATTTGTCCTGAGCAGGAGATGAGGAAGGAAGGGATCTTCCACCAACCAAGGGAGTTTGGACTGGCTGGCCTTTAGTGCCAGCCATGACTGAAGGGGTGGGGAAGTGGAGACCCTCCCAATATTTTGCCAACCATTCCCATAAGCCCCAGCCAGCACTGCCAATGGCAAGGGATGCTGGGAGTTGTAGGGCAAAGCACCTGAAGGGCCTCAAGCTGCCCACCTGTGTGTGACAGGACTCGGTGGTTAATGAGATAAGCCTTCTGTGCATTGTTTACCGAAAAAAGTGGATTTGCCCAAATTTGTGCAGCTTCCCTCTCTGCCTGCTCCCTGAGTCTCAGGTAAGGGTGCCCACCTTGCATTTTTTTATATGCCGTGTGACTTGCATGGATAGCCGCCAACTCATGGGCCTCTTTCAGGGCTTCACACCTGGCAGCGCAGGTATGGCTGTGAAATTCTCCACGGTGATCACAGGAACAGATTCTGGCACTATGGCTACGACGGGCAGGATTTCCTCAGCTTGGACATGGAGACGCTCACCTGGACGGCGGCCAGTGTGGAGGCCCAAACGACCAAGAGGGAGTGGGAGGCTAGGACAAAGAATGCCGAGATCTACAAAGACTACCTGGAGCGGGAATGCTTTGACTCACTGTGGAGACACCTGGACTATGGGAGGCCGACCCTGCTGAGGAAAGGTGGCTGAGGGGAGGAGGAGGGGGCAGGTGGGACGGGGTTTTCGCCATCTTCTTTCCCACCCCCTTTCATCCTGGAGTGAGCTGCCAATCCGTCCATGACAAAACCAGTGAGCAGCTGGGTCTGGGCCTCCCATCTGCAGATTCGGATCTTCCTCCCACATTTAAAAAGCAAATCCTAGAAGTCTAGATAGGCATTGCTGCAGTGCTGTCAGGCTTCGTGTGTTTTTTTTTAACAGCTTGACCTAACAACTTAAGCCTAACGGGAAAAATTAAAAAGCCACGGGAAATGCTCTAAAAAGCTCTGCTATGTGTCCAGTTCAGCGAGATCTGCAGTTCCAGCATCTTCCTCCATGTCCTTTTCCTGTCCATCAGTTTGAACATGTAACCCGTGACCACTTTTGACCTCCCCCAGGGCTGCGACACTGAATTTACTGCCCGAGTTTGGTGTGTGTTACCATAGTGTGGTCATGAAGAATAGCATCTTGGTTTTGGCAGTTTCACATCAAAACTCGGAAGTGCTCAGCCAAAGGTAGTCTTTTTAAAGCAAAATAGCCCCTTTCTCTTTCTACTGTACTGCTGAATTTTGGCAGAAAATTCCACTTTGGGCTTTTAAATACAGGATATGTTCTCCACTGCCATTCACGCTAGATTCGGAGGGCACAGAGGGCAAAGTAATCCCACAGATCCTGGAAGTTTGGGCTTTGCTTGGAGGCATCTTAAGCCAATTCTTTTATAGGGCCGAATAATATTCACCCTCGAGGCTTGGAGGGTAATTTGTTCAGGATTGGGATTTCTCCCCAAGGCCTTATCTGAGTCTTTTCAGAGTGTAACAAAACTCACAACAGGCTAGTGCAGGCCACAGTTTCATTCAGATATGGTACCCCGTGTGGTTCTGAATTCTAAGTTGCTTCAAGAAAAAAAAATCAGAAAGATCAAATATTCAAATATATTTTCCCCCTGAGATCTCGAAAACAAAACTATTTGCAGCGGGGGCTCAGCAACAGTGCAGTTCCTGTTGCCTAAGAAAGCATCCCACACATGAGCAAAAAAGTCGCGGAGCCTATGCAGGAGAAATGCATTCAGAAAAGCCCACTAGCTGCTCCCGGATCCCTTCGCTGGCCTCTGCTGCCACACACCGACGCTGAGGGGAGACCCCTTGCTGGAGCTGCAGCCTGGCCTGCAAAATCAGGGAGCAACTCAGCCCATCAGCCCCAGCTGCAGGCCTTCCCCTTCCAGAGACGCACTCCTGGTCCCGGCTGGGCTGATGAGCCATTTTTCCTCTGACACAATCAAGCAAACAAGCCACAGCCTGGTCTGCACAATTAGGGACCCGAACAGACCCGGGTTTGCCCTTCAGGGGACCCTCTCCTGGTCCTGGCTGAGCCTTTTGCCTTCCTGCACAGGTTCCCTGGGGTTACTCAAGGCAGGTGGGAACATGTTGCCGCTATCCCACCCCTCCGGCATTCCGAAGTGATGCAACCCTTCCGCCTCAGCACAGCGGGTGGGACTGGATGACCTCATGGGAACCCTTCCAGTGGCTCAGTGCTCTTGATGCTGCCATTTCTGCAGAGCCCCCTGTGGTGCGGGTTTCACGGAGAGCGCTGAATGACAGCAGGGACGTCCTGGTCTGCCAGGCCTACGGCTTCTACCCCAGGCAGATCAGCGCCATGTGGATCCAGGATGGAGAGCTCCAGCTGCAGAACACCTTCTACAGGAACGTCACTCCCAATGTGGACGGGACCTACAACCTCAGGCTGGCCATCGAGATCGACTCCAAGGACTGGGACCACTACCAGTGCCGTGTGGACCACGCCAGTTCAGCCCAGCATCTGGTCTTGGACTGGGAAGCTCCTGGGGGTGAGAGGCGATGGGGAAGGGCGGACAACTCCTTGGCCCAAAATCTGGGGTGGAGGAAGGGACCTGCCCTAGGGGGCCACGCCCCGGAGGACCCCACGTGTGCCCTGGGGTGCAGTGCAGGAGGTTTCGGCCCAGGGAAGACAGGAGATGCAACCCCTGGCTGGAAGATTTGGGAGCAGAGGGCCCACCCCGGGAGGAGGCAGGCAGAGGTCAGCCGGGCTGGTCAGGACTTTTGCATTACTTGTGCATGAGACAGAGCCAGACTCGTCTCTCTGGCCACTGAGTGCCTCTATAAACAGGAAGGCCTTCCAAGCCTTATTTATTCATTTTAATTATTTGGAACATTTATATGCCGCCTCCTTCGCAAAAAGCCTCGGGGCGGCTTCCAAAACAAATAAACAATTATACAATTATATTAAAAATCTGGAGACCTCTCGGCACAGAATAAAATCAATGAATACAATCAACAATTAAAATGACGCTTAAATAAAAAGGTCTTGGCCTGGCGCTGAAAAACAAATAATGACGGCACCAGGCAGACCTCTCTGGGGAGCGCATTCCATAGGTGGGGCGCCACCACAGAGAAGGCCCTCCTCTGGGTACTCACCCTCCTAGTATCTCTCACGGAGGATTCCCGGAGAAGGGCCTCTGCCGCCGATCTCAAGGGGCAGGAGGGCAAATATGGACGCAGGTGCTCCTTCAGGTAACCAGGTTCCAAGCCATTAAGGACTTTATAGGTGATAAGCAAGACCTTGAATTGGGCCCGGACTTCAATGGGGAGCCAGTGAAGCTGACAAAGGACTGGGGTTATATGAGAACAGCGCCCAGTCCCCGTCAGCAGCCTGGCAGCTCTGTTTTGCATCAATTTTGCACCTTCCGAGGTCTGTTGCAGGCTGTGGCCTTGGCAGGTAGCAGGAGAGAGCAAATTCCTCATCTGGGGCAATCGCTCGTGCTAAAGTCCAGATTATTTCAGGGTAAATCTCTTGAGGGTTGCAGGAGAGTGCGAAGTGAGTCAGGCGAGTGGCTGGCACGATCTTGTCTCCATTATAAAGTTCACTCCACCTAGGAAACTTCAAGGCCAAGCGGAGGATAAAAATTCCAGCCTCTGTAGTCCCGCCCAACACATCCGCCATTTTGCCGCGTGGCTGGAGGGCGCGGCCATGTGTGGGCCCCGCTCTGCCTGGCATCTCCCGTTCATCTGCTGGTCCAGACAGCCTCAGAGCGTGGAAGAGGAGCGGGGCCAACTCCGAGGAGCCTCTGTGGGGTAGCGGTTGGGTGTTTGCTGAAGAGGCGCAGGCTCTCGGCCTCCCTCAGGCGTGGGTCGCTTCAGGCCCGCCACGGACTCTCGGCCTCACCTACCTCACAGGGTCGTTGTGAGGATAACATGGAGAAGAGGCCCATGTAAGCCAGCTTGTTGGAGGATTTTCCTGTAATAACAGACAGAGTGGCTTGTCCTGGCCGTGGGGCGAGGCTGAAGTGGCACAAGGGTGAGCCAGAATCGCTGCCACCCTCTCCGTCTTTCTCTCTCACGCATTTTCGCACACACACAGCCATCTCGCCACGCCGTTATCTCTCCCCCACATTCCTTCTTCCCTTCTCTTTCTCTCTCGCCCTCCACGTGGAAATCGGGGGTTTTAGAAATTCCCCTTGGTACCAGTGGGGGGCCATTTTTAAAAAATTGCTTGTGGGGGTTGCCGTGTGAGGGGAGGGAATATTTTTGGATCCCGGCCTCCAGACCCAGAAGCCGGGCAGCGCACATCCCCACTTTGGCCCGAGGGATCGCAGGACCCCCCTGCACGAGGCCGCGGAGAGCAGACGGGTGCCCTTTCTCTCCTCTCAGCTACCTGGGCTCCCATCTTGATGGCAGTGGCTGTCGCGCTGGTGGTGGCCGGGATCTTCATCCTCAGTAAGTGTGTGCGCCGGTCTCTTGCACTTCCCCTGAGAACGTGCAGATGGCCTGAGGCAAAGGGCAAAAGCGCCTGCTTCCCTAAATCCACATGCAGAAGCCACCAGGCTGCGCACGGGCCGACAGCCTGGACTCTCACTCTCCGCCCTGCCTACCTCTCAGGGTTGCTGTTAGAAAGAAACAGTAGCTCCCCAGCTCTTAGACAGAATGCCAGGCAGTTTACAAGGTCCTGCTCAGCTTCATTTATGCATATCGGATACTAGCTCCATGCCATGCGATTGCCCCGCAAGGCTCAGCTTTAACAGGGGAGCCACGTGATGGGCTGGGCCTCCTTTTCAGTGAATGTGCACAGGATTACAATGCAAAGCCTCCCTCTTCCCTGCCCACCACACGCCCCCCCCCCCCATGTGTTTGAGGACCAGGGCCCGCTTCACAGAATTCTAGCTATGAACCAACCAAGTCCTGTTCCCTATATCAAAAGTGTAAAAGGGCTGGGATTTTCCCCTCAATCCTAGAAACTTTTGTATGGAAGGAGGTCCCAGGAACTCTGGCCAATTTGTGAAGGTGGATCTTCCGAGCCTGGTTCAGGCTCCTGCCTTCTCCTTCTGGCTACGATCTTTTCAAGATAGTTGGGTCTTGCCCTTGGTTCTGTTGCCAGACCTTGTAAACTAGAATTCTGGGCATGATTTTTGCCCCACTCATCAGATTTCTGAGAGAGGAATAATCTCTGGAGCGTCTCTGCCAGGAAGGAGGCCCAGGTGACACGGGGGCACGGAAAAGAGAGCAGGACTGTAGGATGCCTATTTGAAACACGCTTTCTCTGCCATAAGTCTCTTACATCAAGGAGCTACTTTTCCAGAAAGATGATCAGGAAAAGTGCTTTGTGTGTTCAAGGGCCATTCCTTCAAATAAGCATCACTGGAATTGCTCATGGGGGGGGGGGGATACTTGTCTGGGAGGCATCACCCACCCCCTGGGCTGCCCAGGGCTGGGCAAGGGGCTTCCCGCATCTGTCTCTGCAGAGCTGCCTGTTTCCTGCTTTGGATGCTGCCTGTTTCGTTGTCCTCCGGTGTCCCAGACAAAGGGGGGCTGCCTGCAAAGGTGCCCCGTCCCCTGGGAGCAAAGCTCTGTGCCCTTCTCCCCTGGAGGTCTTGGGAAGAGGCTGAGGAGCATGTACTCTGGCCAGATTTGAGGACTGGGGAGCCCTGGAAGGGGAGAGGGAGGGTTTCTTTCAGCACTGACCTTCTGGTTCTTCCTCCCCAGAGAGCCAGAGATAGAAGGCATCCCACAAGGGACGGCGGGTAAGTGAGCCCTCCCTCTCGAAATACGGTTTCTCCCGAACTGTTGTAAGTAAACAGACAATGTTGGGGGGTCCAGTTAGGAAACTGGCCTCTGCACCCCCACCGGCTCCCCCGCATTTCTCTCCACCCAGCAAGCGACTGAGGATCGGGCAGGTCCCAGGCTGAGCTTTGCGGTGTCCGGCCTTCCCAGAAACCCATAGCTTCCGAGTGGCGCCAGATCTGGCTGTGTGGACAGTAGACGGCGGGGCAGTGTGGCAGCAGCCAGTTGCACCCATTGCCAGCAAGTTCCTCGGTTCTTTTCCAGCTGCGTCCCTCCTCAGCCGGAGCAGCATCGCAGCAGGACGGAGACCAGAGGCCTTCTCCAGCCCTCCCTGTTGGACGGAACATGTGGGAGCAAGAAGAGCCACTGGGAGGCTGCACCGGCCCCCAGACCCCCAGGAGAACATTGCCGCAAGAGGGAGATCAACCAGGCCCGATACATCGGCCCGAGAAAGACCAGCTGCAGGGAGCTCGCTGCACTTCGACATTCAGAAGGGCTTGGGGTCTGCCTTTTTCCTCCTCCCTCCCAATCTCTTTTCCTTTAGTGTTGTGCTTTTCCATGTGTAGGCCTGAAGGCAAGGGCTGTTGTACGACTGATCTCTGTGAGCCACGCTGGGAACCTTTTTCTGTTGAATGCTGTCAATAAAGAATGAGGCCCTTTTGAGGGTTGGTGTTGGCCTTGAAAGAGCTGAATGATTTGGAATCCAGCCATCTGGAAGGCCTCCTTCAAGGGGCCCCAAAAGGGGACTCCCAGGATGGATGGAGGAATAACGGAGTGCTTAAGAACCAGAGAAGCTCCACTGGAGGGGAGGGGGAGGGATTTTGGAAGGGGGTTGCTTTTCTTTGTCTTCCTTGTCCTTTTGGCCATGTCCCCCTACTATCAAATGTACTCAGGAATCTGCTGCCATGGATTGCTGCCTCTTTTTTCCCTGGCGTAACTGCTGTGTTAAAGGTAGAAATTCAACAGGTGCAGTTTTTCATCAGTTCTCCTTGCTTAGCAAAGCTGCACCACTTTGATTCCTGCCCCTCAGTTGGGAAAAGTGTAGCAGGTTTCCTGTTATTTTGGAAATTACTCCTTCGGTGTAGGTGGGATGGAGCTGAAAAGCTCGGAGTGGCATTCATGGCAGGATCGCCTTTCTCTGGCCCTCCTTTTCTGAGAAAAGCATCACTGTCTCTGGGCTCCAGGGGGCGCTGCTGCTGCACCAGCACGAAGCCTTTTTGCAGGGGAGGCGGGAGTGTTTTGGTGTGAGAGAAGGCCAGAGAGAGGCAGACCCTAAAACGGAAAGCAAACGGAAGATCAAGATACAAGAAGAAAGTTAGAACTGAGTATTTCGAGGGATTCTCATAACTCGTCCTTGTTTTAGATGAGGATCGAAAGAACACAAGGGAAGGCCTGCTGGGTCAGACCAGAGGGCCATGTAGTCCAGCACTTGAGGGCAAACCAGCTGCCCCAGGATCTCCCCAGCAGGAGCTGCAAGACCTCCTCTGGCCCAAAAAGCTCAGCAACTGGTATGCACAGGCAGGGCATCTCGCCTGACGCAGTCACAAGGGATCCCCACCAGCAGGCATCCCAGGGGACAATGAACTGCTTCCGCCCTTCCCCTCACAGATACAAGTCGTTTCCCCTCACAAACACAAGTCAGCAGAAGGGAGGTGGAAATCCAGGTGCCAGCAGAATGTGGGTAAACAGAGGAGTCCGGGCTGGGCCTGGGAAATACCACGGTGCTTGTTCAACCAGTGCCACGGCTGCAGAGCAAGGGGAATCCCAGTTCCACGGTCCAGCCAGCAGCACCTAGGCTGACGAGCACGTCTCTGCGAATATCTGCATCCGCTCAGCCACAACGCCTGAACAGCCGCCGCCTTTTCTAGGAAATCAGGTGGCAATTGTGAAGCGGCCTTTCCCGCTGTGGTCACCAGGGGGCGCTGCGGCGCCAGCAAAGCCATTCTTCGGACTTAAGCTGAACTCTGATGAGAGCGTTTCCTTACCCGGTGCTCGTTATTCACACAACCAGATCAGCTACAGTTGGGAGTTTAAATTTCCCTCGATGTCTTCACTGAGTGCAATTTTTACTGTTTTAACCATGGGGGCGTTAGAGTTGACAAGCAGAAAAAAATGTATCCTTTAGATCACGGGTCCTCAAACTACCGCCTGTGTGCCAGATCCAGCCCGCCGTGCCCGTTTATCTGGCCTGCCTCAGAGGGTTTGGACTCGCTCGGAGAAAACAGAAGATCAAGATACAAGAAGAAAGTTAGAACTGAGTATTTCGAGGGATTCTCAGAACGCGTCCTTGTTTTAGATGAGGATCGAAAGAACACAAGGGAAGGCCTGCTGGGTCAGACCAGAGGGCCATGTAGTCCAGCACTTGGGGGCAAACCAGCTGCCCCAGGATCCCCCAACAGGAGGTGCAAGACGTCCTCCAGCCCAGCTCCTGAGCAACTGGTATGCGCAGGCAGGGCGCCTTGCGCGACGCAGCCACAAGCGAAGTGCGTGTGTGCGTGCCACACCACCTCACCCTGGCAGGCAGTCACAAGATCGGTTGCTGTGCAAACAACCCACGGTGCACCCAGAATGCTCCGGGGGGGGGGTGTCATTGTGGGTGAGTGGCTCCTTCCTCCCTGCTTGGTCTCCCTGCAGGCATCCCGGGGGACAATGAACTGCTTCCGCCCTTCCCCTCACAGATACAAGTCTTTTCCCCTCACAAACACAAGTCAGCTGAAGGGAGGTGGAAATCCAGGTGCCAGCAGAATGTGGGTAAACAGAGGAGACCGGGCTGCGCCTGGGAAATATCACGGTGCTTGTTCAACCAGCGCCACGGCTGCAGAGCAAGGGGAATCCCAGTTCCACAGTCCAGACGGAAGCACCTAGGCTGACGAGCACGTCTCTGCGAATATCTGCATCCGCTCAGCCACAACGCCTGAACAGCCACTGCCTTTTCTAGGAAATCAGGTGACAATTGTGAAGCGGCCTTTCCCGCTGTGGTCACCAGGGGGCGCTGCGGCACCAGCAAAGCCATTCTTCGGACTTAGCTGAACTCTGATAAGAGCGTTTCCTTACACGATGTTCGTTATTCACACAACCGGATCAGCTATAGTTGGGAGTTTAAATTTCCCTTGATGTCTTCACTGAGTGCAATTTTTACTGTTTTAACCATGGGGGCGTTTGAGTTGACAAGCAGAAAAAAATGTATCCTTTAGATCACGGGTCCTCAAACTACCGCCTGTGTGCCAGATCCGGCCCACCGTGCCCATTTATCTGGCCTGCCTCAGAGGGTTTGGACTCGCTCGGAGAAAACGATCTCCGAGTGAGACCAAAACCTCCGAGCTGCTGCAGGCGTTCTCAGAAACTGGAGAGAGCCGGCGCCTGCCCAAATTGCAACAGCTCAACTGCATGTGTGCCGGTCCCCCCCCCCCTCAATGGCACACATAGACAGAGCAGAAACACAGAGGGGAAACAAAAGAGAGGTGGGCGGGAGAGAAAGACGAAGATGACGAAGAAACTAAAAAAGCATTGAAAGTAAGTAAAATGGAACTTTTTAAATCTATTTTTAGTTATGCGAGCCCTCAGGTGGCAGCCGCGTGGCCTTCTCCGTGCGACCAAGCCACCGCCTCGCCGACCGCGCCCACAGCCCCCGCCTTTCAACGGGCCCCCTGTTGACAACGTTTGAGGAGCCCCGCTTTAGATTGCGGCAGCCGCCAGTCTGCTCAGACCTTGGGCACAGCTGTGGGTGGACTCCAGGGGGCGCTGCTGCTGCACCAGCACGAAGCCCTTTTGTCGTGGGGGAGGAGGAGGAATTTTTTGGTGTGAGAGGCCGGAGGGGTGACGTGTGAGTCTGAGAGAGGCCCATCCTAAAACGGAAAGCAAACAGAAGATCAAGATACAAGAAGAAAGTTAGAACTGAGTATTTCGAGTGATTCTCAGAACGCGTCCTTGTTTTAGATGAGGATCGAAAGAACGCAAGGGAAGGCCTGCTGGCTCGGACCAGAGGGCCATGTAGTCCCGCACCTGGGGGCAAACCAGCTGCCCCAGGATCCCCCAACAGGAGGTGCACGACCTCCTCTTGCTCAGCTCCTCAGCAACCGGTGTGTGCAGGGCACCTCGTGTGAAGCAGGGAGCACATGGCCAGCAAGACTAGTGGCCATAGATAGCCTCTTCCCTCCTGGATCTGTCCCGTTCCCCTTTAAAGCCATCCAGACTGGGGCCTTTCCCCACTTCATCTGGCAGTCAATTCCAGTTTCACTGTGTGCTTTGGGAAGAACTTTAAAAAAAAAAATCTGTCCTGAATCTCCCATTAATCTCTCCCAAAAAGCCTCCGTATAAGAAATGAGGCCTTTGGGTTGTCGGCTCATGGGAGAGAGAAGCCACTGCTGCTCAGCTCAGCCACTGCTGTGCTTCTTGCTGGGGGGGGGGGGGCACAAAAGCCCCTTTATGGGCTGAATAAAGCGCATGGCAATTCTCAACTGGAGAACGAGGGAGGATGCCTCTGACACCCCCCACCCCCCAGGCAATGTGAGGGGCCTCCGAGCCACCCCGGCGTGCTCCCTGAGAGCAAACGGGGCGTCCCAGAGCAGGGCTAGTGAGCCTCGGGTTCAAGCACCGACCTGGGGCCCCGTGAGATGAGCAGCCGGGTGGGCAGGAGCATCGTGCTGGGCAGGGGCCAGCTGCACTCGCGTTGGATGCGCACCTGGGCAGACACGCCCCCCTCTCCAGCGCTGCTTTTCTCCATCAGCCACAGCCACGTGTGGGTATCTGGGCTCACGTGGCCCTGAGGGAACAGACGCCAGGACTCAGGGCTGCCCAAACTACACTCGTCTCCTGGAAGGCAGCGTGGTCTACATGCTTTGAACTGCAACTCCCATAATCCCCGACCCAATGGGGCTTACAGGTTTTGTACTCCCAAACACCTGGAAGGGACAATGTCGCCTGTCCCTCTGAATCTTTTTGCAAGAGGTTGGTTGCTGCAGTTGACGTGAGTTTCCCTGCCCCACAGCAGCCTCCAAACTCCCACGGAGCCCAGCATCCCACCCCATGGCATCACGGGAGAGCCGAGGCTGCCGCTTCGTGGGTTCGGCTGATCACAGCCCCGCTGAGGTGCTTTCACTGGTGCTGCCAGGCAAGGAAGCACCAAACCCCCAAATTCAGCCCCTGAAGAGTCGGGCTGGAAACGCCCACCGGCCACGAGCTGCCATTTCACTCTCATCGAGCTGGCAGTCGGCTCAGCTGACGTCAGTGGGCTGCGCCTGACGCCTTTGTGGTAGACACAAATGATATTCTATATACGTTTTTCCTATATTCAAAAGCACGTGGTGGGCAAATGAGAAGCACATGAGGGACAAATGTGTGGATGGTACACACAAGAATGTGCCCAAATTAATTAACGGTCCTTTTCTCTCTCTCCTCCTGCCACGCTCACACTTTCCTTGCCCTCCTCCAAAAGCCTGTGCTCTTGTTTTTGTCTGGTTAAGTAGCCAAAATGTTGAGAGTGCCAGAGAGCTGAAGGGTTGTGGTTTTGGAGGAGGAGCAATCAAAGGCTTCTAGTCCTCATGGCTATACAGTACCTTCAGTATCAGAGGCAGTGTCCCTGTGTACACCAGTTACTGGGAAGCTTGGAAAGGAGGGAACTGTTCCACTCTTGTCCTTCTTGCATGCAGCTGACTGGCTGCTTGTGAACAGAATCCCAGACTAGACAGATTTCCCGTCTGATCCAACACGACTGTTCCTACTTTCTTAGTTCTGCAAAGTTCCTGTTCCTACAAAACCCCTGCAAAGAATTTCTGTTTCCCAGTCCGCCCCACCTGGCTCTTGGGGCCCCTGTTCTGTGTGTGATGGGTGTCATTTGCTTCTGATCTGCCTCGAGAAGATGCATGGGGCCAGCAGCATCCCATCTCTGCTCTCAAGGCCTCTCTTAGGGAGCAGAAACCACCCCAGAGCTTAAACAAATGCACTGGTTCGATGCCGGTGGAAACTCAAGAGCAGGAAGGCTTGTGTTTCGCTTCTTTAACACCGTCAAAGTGTGGGTTTTGCCATCAGCAGGGGCACACACATCGGGGCAAACCTTCTACACAACGGACCACACACAGGTCTAGTCTCATGACTTTTACTGGATTAAAAAAAAGCACAACCCCAAAATGGAGAGCAAGTTCATTCATCATAAAACTTGGGAACGTCTTCTCCCACGATAACTTCCTCCTTGACGCTGTCTTTGGTGATGGTAGCGAGGTAAATAACGCCACCGCTGGATCCGTCTCGGACCATGGCCAGGGCGATCGCTGGGAGGAAGGCAGAGAAGGAACCGTGAGAATCAGCCTATGAGAAGGTGACTATGGGAATTCTGTAGTGTTTAAGAAGCTGCATATATGCGATTTTTAAAAACAGCAACACAGAATTCATGTCAAGGACATACAATTCTTCCCTTCCCCAGAGGCGAACAGTTTCATCGCAGCTTAAGGTTATATTTTTAGACCCTGCAGCTCTGCTTTGATTAAAGATCAGGCACCCGAAGGGGAAATGCCACAGAGGCAATGACCGTAAGGTCTACTAGTGTCTTCCACAAGGGTGGGGACCTCTGGTGCGCGGAGGGCCGAGCTCAGCCCGTGAAGCCCCCTGCACAGTCCTGGGTCAAGGCTGCACCGTCAGCCCCGGAGCAGGAGCAGCAGGTGGCCCCGAATGGGGCCCCAGGGCCAGGGATGACCCACGCTGGTGGGCGCTGCTGGGTTGCAAAGTAGGCGAAGGCCCGAATTTGGGCACGCAGCCAGTTTTCAAGCCACCACTTCTACCCGCACGACGAGCTGAGCTTGACGGCAGATGCTGTGCTGTCTGGAAAAGAGGAATGGAGCTTTTGTGCACTGAGCTGCCGCTTTCACCCCTCCCCCTGCACCCCAAAGTGTCCCGTCCCCCCCGGAGCAGAGAGGAGGAGACAGCTACCGTTTTTGGTGAACTGGCGGCATTCCTCTGCATCCATCCCGGGTTTGTAGGCGGAGTCGACGTAGCCTTGGATGTAGGTACTCCCGGATCCCCCAATGGAAAAGGGGAACCGAGCGAGCATCCCCCCCATTGTCACATACACCTGTTGGGACAGGAGGTGGGGCAGTTTTAGCCGAGCATGGAGCACCAGCTTGGCTGCAAAGCAGCAACGGACGGATGTGTTGCAATAGCCATGCTGTGTATCGTCTAACGGGGGCTCTGCCTTCGCGAGGCACCTGGGTAGGGCTCGCCCATCCAATGAACTGGTCTAGGGGTTTAGGATTCTTTGGATGTCAAGGTACAAGTCTGGAAAAGGAGCTCCAGTCTGGGAGCTGGAGATCCCATTTCCTTCCTTGTGGGAAGAGCGATGCCACCTGCTTCTCTGAGGCTGTAAAAGGGACCGTGGAGAAGGGGAAAGGGGGCATCTTGGGGGGGGGGGACTCCTGCCTCCCCTGCAGCCCTCCTTCCCTCCCACTCCAAAGTACTGCAGCTTGAGGGCCTGGTGTGCTGGGAGAAATAGCAACAACCTCAGAGACGCAGATGATACCACTCTCATGGCAGAAAGTGAAGAGGAACTGAAGAGCCTCTTGATGCGGGTGAAGGAGGACAGCACAAAAGTTGGCTTGAAACTCAACATTAAGAAAACTAAGATCATGGCATCCGGTCCTCTCACTTCCTGGCAAATAGATGGGGAAGAAACCGAGGTAGTGACAGATTTCATTTTCCTGGGCTCCAAGATCACTGCGGAAGGGGACTGCAGCCAAGAAATCAAAAGACGCTTGCTCCTGGGGAGGAAAGCTATGGCAAATCTAGACAGCATCCTAAAAAGCAGAGACATCACCCTGCCGACAAAAGTGCGTATAGTCAAGGCTATGGTTTCCCCAGTTGCAATGTATGGCTGTGACAGCTGGACCATAAGGAGGGCTGAGCGCAAAAGGATTGCGGCCTTTGAATTGTGGTGCTGAAGGAGACTCCTGCGAGTCCCTCGGGACCGCAAGGCGATCAAACTGGTCAGTCCGAGAGGAGACCAACCCTGACTGTTCCTTAGAAGGCCAGATCCTGAGGATGAAACTCAAACACTTTGGCTACCTGATGAGAAGGAGGGACTCCCTGGAGCAGAGCCTAATGCTGGGAACAATAGATGGCAAAAGAAGGAGGGGACGGCAGAGGATGGGGTGGCTGGATGGAGTCACTGAAGCAGTGGGTGTGAGTTTGAGTGGCCTCCGGGGGATGGTGGAGGCCAGGAAGGCCTGGAGGAGTGTTGTCCATGGGGTCGCGATGGAGGGTCGGGACTTCGCGACTAGCAACAACAACAATTCAAGTAGGCCGCCTTAGCCTGTCCTAAGAAGTTGCTGAGTTTTTAACAATGCCCATTGTTAAGCGATTAGGTGGAAACGCAGCAACAGATGGAACTTTCCGGGCATGGAAACACAGTGAAGAGAAGTTCTCCTTCTCCCGGATTCTTGCTATCATGCTCTTGAAGCGGCACATAAGCTTGGACTAGTTTTAAAGCTGCACCCTCTTTTAAGTGGAACCCTTAAGCGTCCTCTCTCTCCTACATCACAGAACAGGGCTTACCTGCCCTCCTTTCTTGTGGTCCCATCCCGCTACAATAAGGTGCGCTGAGAGCTCCTCCTTGTGCTTGTAGCTGATGTTTTTCACCAAGGTGGCTGCAGCCAGGACCAGTGGGGGCTCCTCCATGTTTAGGCTGCCCGGGAGACAAAGATTAATTCCAGCATAGGAAGCCAGACTGAGAGCAATCTTTCTTGTACTCTAAAATAAGTAGGATGTGGGATGGGAGTGAAGCCCCTTTTCCCTCCTAGTTCAAAGGAGGATGCGACAAACACAGGTGCGAGGTTTGCTGTATCTCTGTCCCAGTTTGAGTGCTTGCCCATCAGCCGCAAGGGAAACACATGTTTGCAGGCCAAGCCACATCGCCCTGGCAGGCAGTCACAAGATCGGTTGCTGTGCAAACAAATCACAGTGCGCCCCTAAATGCTTGGGGGGGTCATTGTGGGTGAGTGGCTCCTTTCTTCCCTGCCCCCCCCTTGGTCTCCCTGCAGGCATCCCGGGGGACAATGGACTCACAAACCCCTCACAAACACAAGCCTCGCTGTGGCTTTTCTTCACTTTAAACTTTTTTCCTCTCAAGAGATTGCAAATCCGTGTATTGACAGCTGTATACTCGGTAGAAAGTTGAAAGTAACCCACTGTTGTTAATGTGGGATTTGGAAAGGGCTTTTAAAGGGTTGGGGGGCGGGGCAGGAAAAAGGTGTGCGTATGATTTCCTGGCAAAAATAGGAAGTACGTGCCAAAGGTGCCCTGAGGACAAAATATCCCCTAACCTGATTATCCTTCTGTGGAGAGGGGGAAGGAGCTGCCGCCCCCTTTCCTGAGTTACTCTCACTCTCACCTTTGACAACTGGCTTCCTGACAGCTGTCAGAAGTAGCCAAACAGGAAGAGAAACTTACCTGCAGCCTATGGGGGACATAGCTGGTGGGGAGGTTCCTGCTGCCTCATAAGCAGGTATCTCCAAGCACAACGCTCACCTGAGGTCCCCCATTCACACACCTGTGCAACTGCAGGTACATTTGACAAATTTAAGTATTTGCTGGACTTGGTTTGGTAGAAATGAGAACCCTGTTTGGCAACGACCACACTGAGGGACACACTCTGAGCCACTGTGGCTTAGCGTGTCGTGCGAACCTAGTTGCTCACCTGGGCGGAGGTCCCATTGAATTCAGTGGGGCCCACTTCTGTGCGGGCACATATAGAACTGCCGGGCAAATGTGCCAGAGGGAAATGAGGCTGAAGAAGAGCAGCAGAAGGGAGGTGGAAATCCAGGTGCCAGCAGAATGTGGGTAAACAGAGGAGACTGGGCTGGGCCTGGGAAATATCACGGTGCTTGTTCAACCAGCGCCACGGCTGCAGAGCAAGGGGAATCCCAGTTCCACGGTCCAGCCAGCAGCACCTAGGCTGACGAGCACGTCTCTGCGAATATCTGCATCCGCTCAGCCACAACGCCTGAACAGCCGTTGCCTTTTCTAGGAAATCAGGTGGCAATCGTGAAGCGGCCTTTCCCGCTCTGGTCACCAGGGGGCGCTGCGGCACCAGCAAAACAATTCTCCCCCTGCAAATTCGCATTTTTAGCTGAACTTTGATGTGAGCGTTTTCTTACTGGAGCTTGTTACTCACACAACCGGATCAATTACTGTTGGGAGTTTAAATTTCCTTTGATGTCTTCACTGAGTGCAATTTTTACTGTTTTAACCATGGAGGTGTTAGAGTGGACAAACAGAAAAAAATGTATCCTTTAGATCACGGGTCCTCAAACTATGGCCTGCGTGCCATATCCGGCCCACCGTGCCCATTTATCTGGCCTGCCTCAGAGGGTTTGGACTCGCTCAGAGAAAACAGAAGATCAAGATACAAGAAGAAAGTTAGAACTGAGTATTTCGAGGGATTCTCAGAACGCGTCCTTGTTTTAGATGAGGATCGAAAGAACACAAGGGAAGGCCTGCTGGCTCGGACCAGAGGGCCATGTAGTCCAGCACTTGAGGGCAAACCAGCTGCCCCAGGATCCCCCCAGCAGGAGGTGCAAGACCTCCTCCAGCCCAGCTCCTCAGCAACTGGTATGCGCAGGCAGGGCGCCTTGCGCGACACAGCCACAAGCGAAGTGCGTGTGTGCGTGCCACACCACCTCACCCTGGCAGGCAGTCACAAGATCGGTTGCTGTGCAAACAACCCACGGTGCACCCAGAATGCTCGGGGGGGGGGTCATTGCGGGTGAGTGGCTCCTTCCTCCCTGCTTGGTCTCCCTGCAGGCATCCCGGGGGACAATGAACTGCTTCTGCCCTTCCCCTCACAGATACAAGTCGTTTCCCCTCACAAACACAAGTCAGCTGAAGGGAGGTGGAAATCCAGGTGCCAGCAGAATGCGGGTGAACAGAGGAGACCGGGCTGGGCCTGGGAAATATCACGGTGCTTGTTTAGCCAGCGCCACGGCCGCAGAGCAAGGGGAATCCCAGTTCCACGGTCCAGCCGGCAGCACCTAGGCTGACGAGCACGTCTCTGCGAATATCTGCATCCGCTCAGCCACAACGCCTGAACAGCCGCCGCCTTTTCTAGGAAATCAGGCGACAATTGTGAAGCGGCCTTTCCCGCTGTGGTCACCAGGGGGCGCTGCGGCGCCAGCAAAGCCATTCTTCGGACTTAGCAGAACTCTGATAAGAGCGTTTCCTTACCCGGTGCTCGTTACTCACACAACCGGATCAGCTATAGTTGGGAGTTTAAATTTCCCTTGGTGTCTTCACTGAGTGCAATTTTTACTGTTTTAACCATGGAGGCGTTAGAGGTGACAACCAGAAAAAACGTGCCTTTTAGATTCCAGCAGCCTTCAGTCTTTTCAGACCTCAGGCACACCTTTAGACAAATGTACAGCTGGATCTTAATGCAGGAAATTATTCCCAGGGAAATCTGTTTTCTTGTATTGTGAGCCCTGCCCCCAGGGCAAGAAAAAGCAAATTTGCTTCATCCCGTACATGAGAATCAGAACTCCAGAACTGCAGAATCACAACCTCTCTGTGCTCTGGAGCTTCAAAAAGTTTTAGAACCTGAAGGGGTCATCCATGAAGCTGATGGGTGGGAAATTCAGTGGGAAGGAACATAGCTGGTGTTCACTTCCTCAAGATGTAGAGATAGCACCCATTTGGAAGGCTTTAAAAGGGGATTGGGGAAATTCATGAAGGAAAGGCTATCTAGGGTTACTAGTCCTCATGGCCATGGCCAGTGCCAGAAGCAGTATGCCTATATACCCCAGTTGCTGGGGAACATGGGTGGAAGGATGCTGTTACTCATGTCCTCCTGTTGATCACAGAACCGAAGGCTGGATTAGATGGTTCCTTGGTCTGCCACAGCATCTTATGTTCTCCTGGTTTTCTGCTAGCATTTCAAGCTTTGCAAGACATTGTGTGAAGACCATAAACTCACTAAAAAAAATGGTCTCAAAAGACAGCTTCTGCATGAAAGCAAGAAGTTCAAATTCATGGGCAAATTTTATAAGGTGGACCTTGGACTGGACTTGACCGAGATTGGGAGTGGCACACCAGGTTCAACGCAGACGTCTCCTCTGGAATTTGGCTTCTTGGGGTGATGTGGCCGCACTGGGGACTGCAGCCAATGGCCGCCCCCACCTGAACGGCCCTCCGCCCATGCTCACCTGTGCAGCTCCAGCTGGTAATTCACTATGTCGGCGATCGCCTGAGCATCAGCTGCGGATCCTGATAGCGCGCAGTAAATCCGGTCATGCAGCGGCTCGAGCTTGTTGAAGACCCGGTTCACCACAGACTGCCTGGGGAGAGGGTTGCCTTGTTATTCCTTTGCGCTGTACGCAGCCTTTCTGCTAAGAGAAATGGCTCAAAATGGCTTGTATTAATTAATAAAACTTGGTGGAGGGAGCACTTTGATGGCTTCTAGCAGCAACCGGGGGCATGGGATATTTTGGAATTTTCAGTCTTGGAGCTGGGAATCACAGCCCCAGGGGCCTTTGGGTGGGGTAGGAGGGGACGGGAGAGGGCTGGGAGAGGAGTTGTCTCGAGGCTCCTGAATGCTGTTGCTGGAGGGGCAAAACATCTGCCCTGTGAAAATGCAAGGTGGGCGGATGTGGAAGCAGAGTTTGCCTCTGCGCTCTTCCCACCCTGTGTAGCCTCCAACTTTGTGTGCTTATGAGCATGGAGGGTTTAGAACTGCGCCCTAAAACTATAAAGCAAATGCATTCAAACACAATGAAAAACTAAGCGACAATGGAGTCAAATCGACATCTAAGCCAACAGACTGGCATGCATAAGGCCTACTTGCGTAATAAGAGGGCAAGCAGAAGTGTGGGAGAGACAGGAACTGCATTCCAGGCCAGCATCCAAAAGGATATCATGTGGATCTAGGGAGGAAACCGAGAAAGCCTTTCCAGCAGGAATCCTTGAAAGGACGCGGTGCGTTTTGGCTGTGCACAAAACCGTAACTTGCAGAGGGGAAAGGAACTGAGGGAAGCTGTGAATGCCTTAACACACCATCTGATGCATGCTTAGATGGGGAAAAGCTGACCAAAAGAGAGGCTGGGGCATGCTGGGAATTTTGGGATGTTTTTCTGTCTGGAACCGCATAAAATTACGCCCTTAATCAGAGCAATGACGCAGCTTTCGAAGCATCCTCATTAACTGAGCAAAGGCAAGGCACTTTTGAGACTCCTGAAAGTGTTCTTGCTTCAGCAAAGAAGTATTCGATGCAGAGCAAGAACACGCCATAAATCCCCCACATGACCTCGGTCCATTTTAGAGGCTTTGTGGCCATTTGCCCCTGCCCGGCCCCTTCACACTGCGGAATCCGCAAAGGATGCCCTGAATTCAGAGACAGCGCCAGGGGTCGCAAAGCTGGGCATCCGGCAAGGCCCATGTCGGGGTCTGGGGGCTGCTTCTGATACCCGGGACCCCCTGGCCCCGCTACTGCTCGTTTTCTCTGCCACTGCCACTTGCTCTCCCCCTCTGCAGCCTAGAGGCAGACTGCGAGCAAGCGACTGATGGAGCGGGAGCCGTCTTGGCTGCACCTGCCCTCTGGGTGGCAGGGATTGGGGCCAGAGGGGAGAGGGAGCAGGGCCCACAATGCAGAGGGGGCAGACACCCTGCCTAAGACCTTCCAAATTCCAGAGCTGAATGTATTCATTTACAAAGTTTACACAGGCCACCAAATATCCATGTCATCTGGGCAACTCACAAAACTTAAATATTTGAATGCAATACTTGTGTTTATCACATTCGTTTGCCATCTTTTTTTCCTCCAGCAAAGAGTCAGGGAATCAGGGAACTCTCCCTCTCCATCGTGATCTCACCAAAAAAAAAAAAAAAACCTGTGAGCTGGTGAAGCAGAGAATCAGTGACTGGTCCAAAGTCAACCAGTGAGCTCATGGCAAGGTGGGGACTAGAAGTCGGATCTCCCAAGTCCCAGTTCAACATTCTAACCACTAGGCACACTGGCTTCAGTATTTAAATACAGTATCCAATAACATGCTGGAGAAGACTCCTGTGAGTCCCTTGGACTGCAAGACGATCAAACCAGTCAGTCTTAGAGGAGATCAACCCTGACTGCTCTTTAGAAGGCCGGATCCTGAAGATGAAGCTCAAATACTCTGGCCACCTGATGAGAAGGAAGGACTCCCTGGAGAAGAGCCTGATGCTGGGAACAATTGAGGGCAAAAGAAGGAGGGGACGGCAGAGGATGAGGTGGCTGGATGGGGTCACTGGGGCAGTGGGTGTGAGCTTGGGTGGACTCCGGGAGATGGTGGAGGACAGGAAGGCCTGGGGGGGGTGTTGTACCATGGGGTCACGATGGGTCGGACACGACTTTGCGACTAACAACACCAATGAAAAGAACAAGCAAATTTTACAGCATTGCTTTAAAAAATAACATCAGATAAAAACAATGAATTAAAGTGTACAGCCTTACCCATGGGACAATATTTAGGATCTGGGAAAATAAAGAGGACTTTCTGTTCAATGGCAAGACCACAACGGAGGCACCAGATAAGCCTCCCTTTGGCAGTCATTCCACAGCGAGGGTGCCACCACTGGGAAGGCCTTCCTCCCACTGCCCGTCTTACTTCACCTGGTGGTGACACCTGGAAAAGGGCCACTGAGGTGGATGTCAGGATTTGGGTCGGCATATGTGGGAAGAGGTGATCCTCTGGATTGCCTGAACTCAAATCACTAAGGCAGGTGAGCAGACGCTCAGGCCTGCGGTCCCTAGCCAGCTCCCTGAGTTTCCACAGATGGTCCCACCCCAATCCTAAATGGCTTGGGACCTGGATACCTGAAGGGACGTCTTCTTCGCTATGCACCCTCCCACCCCTTAAGATCAGGGGCAGAGGCTCTCCTCTGGGAACCCTCCTGGAAGGAGGTTCGGAGAGCGAACACCCAGAGGAGGGCCTTTTCCGCGGTGGCACCCTGACTGCGGAACGCGCTCCCCAGAGAGGTTCGCCTGGCGCCGACGCTGCATTCTTTTCGGCACCAGGTGAAAACCTTTTTATTTACCTGACATTTTAACATTTAATTTTTCAATTATTTTTATTCTCGTGCTTATCCACATTCTATCTTATTTATTGCATATTGTAGATTATACTTTTTCTGTTTATTTATTGTTTGTTGGATTTTGTTGTAAGCCGTACTGAGATGCTGTTAAGGACGGGGTAGAAATGCTGTAAATAAATAAATAAATAAATAAATCCATAAATCCCCACTTGTTCGGTGGACTCATGGCCTTTGTCCAGATTTTCCCCATGCTAAGAAGCAGAAGTGCCTCTCCGAAGGCTGATACTGGAAGGAGCTCCCTGCTACAGAGTGCGAGTACTTTTCGTGCCACCCGCTTTTGGCCGTGCCCACCCTGGAATGTGGCCTGCAAGAGTTTCTCTGGGGCTGAGCTGGGCCCATGGCAGAAAGGGGTCCCCCACACCCCACAGAATGACTGTGCTACGTGGCATTTAGTGACGGACTTCCCTCCCAGGGTTGAGGACGGGGGGCAGGCAGCAGGCACCCCCAGCACTTACCCTGCGGAGACACGCGAGTCGGAACCCACCACGACGCCTCCATCGAACTCAACGGCCATGATGGTTGTCTGAAAAGGATCCGTAGGATGCTCTGGGTTAGTTGAGGTGGAGGAGGGTTGTGGGCGAGGAATGCCGGGGGCCGGTTGCCCTCGTAACGCAAAGGCACCCGTGGCACCCGGCCCCCCTGCCAACGCCCCCACCCCCCGCTCCTCACACTCACAGTGGGACCTGCTCAGGGTCTAATTTCTAAAAACAAGGGAGGGCAGCCTGCATCACTCAAAATGTCATTGGACTCCAACTCCCGCCAGTCACAGTCAGCAGCCCCCATGGTCAGGGATGATGGGGGTGGTAGTTTAACAGCATCTGGGAGCCACAGGGTACCCACCCTGTTCTAAAAGGTGAGATGGTAGCACTCAAGCGGTCCTGGCTGGAAGCGGCACCCTTTGGACATAATTTTGCCCCCTGCCTAATCACATGGGAAGACAAGGGTTTTGCAGCAATTAAGGGAAAACACTTTGAACATGCTCAGAAGTACTCGCACCTTAGGTCATGTGTTCCAGGAATGAGCCAGGCACTGAAAATTTGATGCTCCCAAGTAGGGGGAGAGGTTTCATGGGCAGAGGTTTCTCACCCCCTTGCCGTACTATATCAATTTTGCACAAAGGCTGGGTTCAGACAAACCAATAAGCCCCACTCAAGAGTTCAATTTGGGTTGTCATTGAATTGTGGGTTGTGAAAGAGATGTGGTTACTATGTTGTATAAAACCAGAATGCTAACCATCCATGGTCTGTTACCCATAGTTGACAACCCAAGAACAAATCATGGCTTCTTCTCATGGGCTCCTTGTGGTTGACAGGCCATGGTTCAGACAACGCCTCAGCCCGCATTTCAACAACCACCCCCAGTTCAGCGACAACCTACACGCAACCCATATTCAGCCCCTGACTGTGGGTTATCACATTGTTCCAATCCAGCCGTCGTTGCCTTTGGCAAGGTGGACCTGAACCCCAGGCCCCATGTTTGGACACTTGGATTCAGCGGGGCCTCAGGGCAGGACCCAGAGGCCGCAACAGCCCCTTCCCCTCTGAGAGCCCGACACACCCTTGAGAAGCAAAAGCACAGATCCTGCGCCACCTGAACGTTTCAGCCAGAGATTCTGGAAATCGGGTCTGGGGGAGCCAGTGCCGCAGAGCTCTGAGCGCCCGGACATCCTCCGCTCGTGCGTGAGGCGAGGCGTGTGGCGCAGAGCCATGGCAGACACAAAGGGCCTTTGGGTGGAATGAATGCCGTGCCTACCTAGCCCTCTCCAGGTGCACCGGCCTGGCAGGCAGGCCCAAGATCATATCTAAACAACGCCCTCTTCCCTAGATAGGAAGATATTTACGTAAAGCACAAGGCAGGCTATGCTTCTGTCTTTACCTGGCACCGCAGGTGGCTGTCAAAGGAGGGGGAAAAAACCAAACTTTGCAGAGCTTTCCTCACTGGAGCTGGGTTCAGGAGAGAGTGAAATTGGGCATCGTCAGCCCGCCCCCCAAATGCCTCCTGGCTTGTGCCGCCCCACATGGCTGGGGGCAAGGGAGGGGTGGCTCCTTGTGGTTCATGGGTAGGTCATTTTCCTATTTTCCCTGTGGTTGGATTCCAAGAAAGGGAAAATTCCACGCCCGCCTGAGGCCAGCCGGGATACGTTAGGGACCCAGTGGAAGATCCGAGAGACCCCACAGAGGACCCCACAGAGGACCCCACAGAGGACGATTGAATTGAGCAGACCCTGCCAGTGGGGGAAACAGCGCCAGGGGTAGATTTCTGTGCCCCCAAGACATTCTGGGGGGGTACTGGGGCCTTCACAGATGAACCCACCCACCTCAGCCAGCAGAATTCTTCATTTTTTAGCATTATTATAACATTTCTGTCCCATCTATTCTCTTTGCAAAGAACCCACGGCACCTTGCAAGGCTCACAACAACCTTGTGAGGTAGGTTAGGCTGGAGGAGTCAGTGACTGGCCCAAAGTCACCCATTAAGCATCACGGCCGAGTGGGGAACTAGAATCTGGATTGCCTGAGTCCCAGTCCAGCGCTCAGTCCCAGTCCCAGTCCCAGGCTCTTAACCACTATACCACACTGGCCCATCCAATGGAATTAAGATTGCACTGTTTAATATCTGTATCATTTACACTTTTTCAGACATTAAGATGTACTCCAAAGATCCTTCAGGTGGTCACAGAGGGAATCAGTTTAGATATAATCTGTTCATATGTTTTATGCATTGTAAGCCACCTAGGAAGGCCTTGGCAATTCTAGGCAGCCTATTAATACATGTAAATAAATAAATAAAATAATCGTGTTGTACAAAACTGGCTAAATGCATCAGAAGTAACACTTTAGGTTAAAGTTTAAGACTGCTATTCTGTTGCATTTCCAAATGTTAGTTTTTTAAAAAATTGTATGCAATTGCAATGGATAATTTGGACTACAAACATGAGCAGAAATTTAAAAATTTGGGCCTAGAAGAACTTGAGAAATTTAGGCTGGTGCAAATGTTCCTTTTCAGGGCAAGGTCGTTGGCCCAAACACTCCTGGATGGAACTTGATTATCCAGATCTAGTGTCTATTTGGAAATAATAAATAATTATCTACAGCATCCTTCTAGGGTGACTGTCTAGGGGTCCTGCACTGCGGTGGCTCCGCTCCTACTTGGAGGGCCACCTCCAGAAGGTGGTGCTTGAGAAATCATGCTTGGCCTCATGGATTTGCTAACATGTTCTCCAACAATTATCTATACTCCCCATTCTAAGCTAAATTAGATTACTGCAGCGAACTCTGCAGAAACGGTCCTGAAGACTGTCCTGAAGCTGCAGCTTGTGCAGAATGCAGCTGCCAGATTAGTAGGTGGGACCAGAAGGTCCAAACATCTAAGGCCTATTCTGGCCCATTTGAATTGCATCGGCTGCCTGTATGCTGCCAAACCAATTCAAGAGTTGGTTTTAGTTCATAAAGATCCAGATGGCTTGCAACTGTAGTACCTGATGTAACATCAAGACAACTAGAGTTGTCTAGACAGTCCTAGAGTTGGAAGGGGCCAGGAGGCCATCAGGTCTGACTCCCAGCTCAGCGCAGGACTCCCAGTTAAACCAGCCTCTCTGATGGCTGCCCAGTTGCATCTTGAATGCTCCCGTGTGGGAGAACCCACCACCGCTCCAGGCCTTTGGTTCCATTTATGCATTTGCACCTACATGTATAAATTAGCCTATGCAAATCAGCATCAGCTTTAGTCTTCTGTTTTGGTTCATGCAAGTCCCTGCTTTTGGCAACATGTAAGTTGCAGAGGTATTAATTAATTGATTGATTGATTGGTTTCATGTCCTGCTTTTTTCTTATGAACTTAAAGCAGCTCACATCATTCTCCTCCTCCTGATTTCAATCTTATCTCCACAACAACAACCCTGTGATGTAGGCTCTATCTCTCCATGGTTGCTTGACCAAGGAGGTGACATTTGGCCTGTTTCTGGATGGGGTTAAGTCAGTGGGTCGGGGGTGGGGGGGAGAGTCTGGCCACACTTGCCCACGTCCCGGTAGCCTCCCATTTAGACTACGCAATGGGGCTGCTTTGGGAGACATCCCAGGAACTTCAGCTAGCTTGGCTTAGGCTTGCCTGGCTGCTCACAGGGAGTGGCCCTTCGGAACCCATCACAGCAGTTCTGAAATGGTCCCACTGTTCCTGGCCTGTTTCCAGGCACAGGTAAAAATGGGCCGTTCGGCTTTAAAAGCTGTAAAGCGCAGGTGGCAGGTAGCCCACCTTCTCCCGCATGGGCATGCCCCCTTCCCAAGAGCATCTTTAGGGGTTCTCTCAAGATTCCCCCCCACACACACACACACATTCACACGTGCACCTTTGCAAGTCAAGCAGAAAGCAGCTTGGAGGAGAGCTGTTTGCTTATCCAGCAAAGACATTTTAATTTCCCGCGCTATGGTTATATCTTCCAGTTTAATCTTACAACAGCCTGTGAAACGTGGGTTTAGGCTGGCCCAAGATTACTCCCAGCTCCTGTGTGGACCCTCCAAACCAGAGGCGGCCAACTTCGGGCTTTCCATATATTTGGGCCCAGAACTTCCGCCAGCCCTGTTTGACCCACTCCATGGTGAAGCAGCATGGCGCCCATAGGCCAGAGCGCTTGGAGGTCTCCGAATTGCCTGGCCCTGCTCTAACAAGTCCCCCCGCCAGTTCACTTGCTGTAAACGCATTGCTCCAACTTAGTTTTAATGACATTGGTTTTGTTTTTTATTTTGCCTTACAGTTATTCATAATATTTCCATGGGATTATAAGCCTCCCTTAGCTTACAAAGGAGTTGGGCAAGTATAATTTCAGGGAATTAATATATTAAGTAAATGAATTAATTTCCAGCTGAATAATGTAGAAAAGTTGATTTAAAAAAAAAGTTTCTCATCGATGAATTTTCCCTGTGTGTGTGTTCGGGGTCTTCAAATGGGAACTCTCTCCACTGAAAAAAAAATATTTCAGCCAAAATGTAAATGATCTCTAGAGGTCACAGAATCCATGTTCTTTGTGTTGGGGAACATGACTGGCAGAGTTGCACACGGGCTGATTAAAGGACGCTGGAGGGGCGCTTATCTCCCCTTAGTAGGTTTGCACAGGGATGGTGAAGCCAAGGCACTCCAGCCGGTGTCGGTCTTCAAGCCAGTCCTCCATGACCGTTGCTCATGCTGCGTGCAGCACCGGACTGCAACCTCTGGAGGGTCGTGGGTTGCCCACTGGTTAAGGGAGTGTGCGCAGAGGCGAGTCCCACCCTAAAAGGGGACTTCGCCCCTAGGTCAGCCTCCCAGCCTCAGTTCCCCGCCTGTAACATGGGAAGAACGGTGGCTCGTATTGTGGAATAAAGGATTCGGCGTGTCCAGACACACTCCCTCTAACACGGACCCCTATTTGCGGCGCGCGTTCCTGGAAGCCACCGGCGCAAAGCTTGCCCTCCGCTGCGCTCCCTTCTCGTGGACTTTGATCCCACCCCCTCGGCTGAGCTCCAGCGCCCTTTGGGCAGCTCCTTTCGGGGTGGGGGTCCTTATTCCCCCCTGCAAAAGTGCCGCGGGGGCTCGAATAGGCTGCGCTCTCGCTTGATTCGGCCACAGCCCTCCTCGCCATCCGCCACTCACTCACCCCGAGACTGATCTTCGGCGCCCCGCGATTGGCCATGTTGCTCCCCACAAGTCGGAGCGGGAAGCGACGCTGCAGCACAGATCGAAAGCGAGAGTAGGAAGTCTCTTTTAAAAAGAGAAGGCCTGAGGCGCCGCCGATGGCCGCCAGGGGGCGTCCCACTCCGCCCTACACAGGACCCCTTCAGCCCGGGGGAAACTCCGCGCCTGGCCGCGAAACGCGAGGAGGGAGCAGAGACGGGTCGCCTCCCGCATCTCAGCTCCGGGGGCGGCGGGGGGGATCGTCGGGCTTCTCTTCTAGCATCCCACGCTGCTCCTCCAGCGCTCGAATTGCAGGGCGACTCAGCATCCTGCTGCGTCCGGGGCATGACCTGAATTTGAAGCGGAGCTCCGCTGCATTACTGGTTTCCGCTGCCAGGTGCAAACCTTACGGCGGGACCCAAGACTTGGTGAGACCCCGACGCCCCAGCCAGAATTGGCAGGGCTGATGGGAGCTGCAGTACAACACCAGCTGGAAGGCTCGGGTCCCTTCCCAATTACTCCTGCATCAAGACATCTAGCTGGATAAGAAGAGTGCCTCTGAGAAGCTGCAGTGTGCAAAGTGAGGGCTGCACGTGTTTTGTGTATGTACAGGAATCTGTAAAAGGCACCACGTGTCTGTGGCAAAAGCGATGTGGTACCCCAAAACTCCGCAAAGAGTTATATTTCATGTTTCAAAACATGTAAATAGGCCAAGAGAAGTCATGCAATTTATCCACTGCACAATTCCATCTCTTGTATCCTGCACTGACTCCCTCCCTTTGATTTAAATATATATTTATCTGGTTCCTCATCCAGAAAGGGCCCTGGAGCATCGGTTTGCATATAATGGGGAAAACAAGAGTCCTCCCTGGTAACTTGGCAATCTTAAAAGACAGACATGGAAGGAGAAAGAGTTACGGAGGGGAGAAGAAAAAATATTTCAGCGGGAGATGTGCTATCACTACCCCCCCCCTTCCCCCATCTTCCTCTGTACAGGCTGAGGGGATGACAGCAGAGGAAGCCTGGCCGGTTTGACAGCATCCTTCCTACATTTGATCCTCTGCTGGGAAAAAAACAAAAACCCGCGGTGCGTTGATAATCGGGTGACAGGCAGAAATCCAACTGGTGATGCGCTGCAATCTGCCTGCAGGGTGAGGAAAGGCTCCACAGGTTGTGTTCCCTATGCATCCTGCTTCCAGGAAAAATATACTCCCCCCCCCCCCCCGCCCCGTAGCCGCGGCCAGAGAGTTTTCTCTGCCCTCCCGCCGCCGCCGCCGCCTTTGAGAGCTTTTTATAGCAGGCGAGTTTCACTTTCAGATTCCCAGAAATCATTCCGAATCCTTGAAGAGCAAAGCGCGTAGGAGGGACTTTCCAGACGGGCCGAAGGCTGCGCAAAGAGAATCTCCCGCCGCAAGCTCGGCTCAACCTGTGGTTTTTCAAGACCGCTTTGCAACGAACTTGGTCCGAGGCGAGGCGCTCCTTTTCCTGTTCCTTCGCCGGGCGGCGAGGGGGCGGCCACCGGGGGCGGGGCGGGGCGTCCGCCTGTTCGCCGCCCCGGTGCCGGCGCCTCTTCGCAAGTGACGGAAAAACGGGCACCTCGACCCGGCCCGAGCGAGCGGCCGCCTTTCTGGGCAGCGGCGAAGAGGGCGCCGCGGGAGCTGCCCGGCCGACCGCCGCCTCGGCTTCCCGGGAGCGCGCCTCCTCGGCGGGGCTCCGTGGGGCCTCGCGCGCGGGAAGCTGCTGCGCGCCGAAAGCAGCGAGGGAAGGCGGGAGCGCAGGGCCTCGGCGGTCGCCCCGCGGAGATGAGGCCCGGCCTGGCGCCCTGCGCGGCCGCCCTGCTGCTGGCGCTGCTGGACTTCCTGGCGCTGCGCCTGGCCTGGCGGGCGTGGCGGCCGCCCGGGGGCAGCGCGCTGGGCCTGGCGTGGGGCATCGGCCTGCTGCGCTGGGCCCTGCTGAGCCTCTCGGCTTGCGCGGCCGGCCGCTGCGCGGGGATCCCCGCGTGGCTCAGGGGCGCCCTGCTTCCCGCGGCCGCCCTCCTCGGCCTCCTGGTGCCCTGCTACGCCACGCTGCAGCTCCTGCTCCTGCCCAGAGGGGGCGCCCTGGAGCTGGCGCACGGCGGGGGCAGGACGGACGTCCTCGCCCTCAGCTACCTCATTGTGGGCGTTGTGGCCCCGCTGTGGGGTCACCTCGTGCCCCAGAAGCGGGGTGAGGAGGTGAAGAAGCCCATGGCATCCTTGGGGCGCCTCTTGTCTAGCTTGAGGCCCGAAGCGTTGCCGTTTGTGGGCATCATTGGATTCCTGGTGGTCTCGTCCTTGGGTGAGTAAGATATGGTGATATATGGCCTTGGATGGGAGGGGGGCCCACATGGGTCTTCGACACCCCGGTCCCATTCTTATCCCTTCCCAACTTCAAAACTGGTCCACAGTTCTAATTCTATCTGGACCGATATTTAGCTTTTTATGTCTTTAATTTACCAGCATACTGCCCAAAGAACTTTGGTTACCAGATGCTCTATACATCAAAGAAATAATCAGTAGTTTATTTTTGGTCAGTGGCGCTATAAGAAAATGGCAGATGGCAGAATGGGACCATTGCAATGTGTGCTGCATAGGCTGCACCTGGGCCTTGTCCAGAAGCTGCAGCAGGTGCAGAAGGCAATAGGCAGATGCTTGATGGGACCTGCAGCTTTTCTTACGTCAGATCTGAGTTGCAAGAATGGCGCTGGCTTCCCGTTAGGGCTGAGCCACAGTCAAGGCTCTGTTGCTGGCATGCCCAGCCCTAAGCAGTTTAGGACCCGGATGCCTAGCAGGACACCTCCCTTATAGCTACCCAGTTGCCCTTTAAGAGGAGGCTCTGCTGATGATTCCAAAATTATCCAACACAATAACCCGGACGGTGGGCCTTCTCCATGGTGGCATCCACCACGGAAAAACCAAAACCTTTCTCATGCAGTTTGGGAGGCTGAAAATACGGCATCCTTCAAAACTTCCTGAAAGCACACTTGTTCACCCCGACTTGCCCCGGCTTGTGATTAAATTAGCAATTCCACCCCAGTCCTTTTATTTTGCCCTTTATTATTATTATTGGAATTGTTTTAAAAGTGCATTTTAAAAGTGCATTTGATATTGTTGTTCTAAATGTGAATTAAATATTTGTGTATGTAAAGGGATTTAGGGATTTTTACTACTTGGTAATGCAGAATACAGCATTGCATAAGGAAATACAGTGGTACCTTGGCTCACGAATGCCTCAGTTCACAACCAGATCGGGCCACAAACAAAAATTTCATAAAAAATTTGTCTCAGGTCGTGAACTCTGCATTGGATTGGCGACCGCGATCGTAGCCATCTCCCCCCCACCCCGAGTGGGGAGATGGCCGCAATTGTGCTGGGGGTGGGGGGCGGAGATGGCCAAGATTGCACTCTTTCCTGCACGAGTGCAACCGCGATCTCAGCCATCTCCCCCACCCCCAGCATGATCGCGCCAGTCTCCCCCCCTCCCCCGGAATGCCCGTGATCATACCCGTCTTCCCTCCAGCACGCCGGATGACTGTGCATGCAGGGATGACGGGCACGAACGCAGTCATGCTGGGGGTGGTGGGTAGATGGCCTCGGGGGCGGGGGGGAGATGGCCACGATCTTTGTTGTTCTTTGTCACTTTGCTTCACATTTTTCTGATTTAAAAAATGGTTACAGAACGGATGAACCTTATTTACACTGAACCTTACGGAGAAATTTAACTTGGCTCATGACCAATTTGGGTCACAACCAGAGTCTTGAAACGGATTAAGTTCGCGAGCCAAGGTACCACTGTACAAATGGTTTTTCCAGGTCCAGCTCACTCACAGTCCTAACTGTGAACGGGGCCTACATATAAATGTTAGGATAGTGCAGTGTTTTTTCTCCTGCAAATTTCATATTTGTTCCGCTTGGTGGTAGCCTCCAACAGATCTATCACTGATATGCAGGTGCACAAAACAAATTCAAGAATTGAATGTGGCTTGTCATTGAAACATGGGTTCACCTGTTGTCTGAACCCAGCCACACTTGCAAACCACGGTGAACAACCCACTATTCACAACACAACAACAAACCATGGGGTCCTTTCAGACAAACCATGCTTCTTTCTGGTTAACAAACCATGGCTTGTTAACACAGTTGGGTTCAGACGACACAGCAACCCATGTTTCAGCAACAACCCATTCTCAGCTCTGGAGTGTGAGTTGTTGAGTTGTCCAATCAGTCACAATTAACTGTGTACCCTCTACATCCCACTACTCCCCTTGTGAGCCCCAAAACTGGAGGTGTGAGTTCCTGCTGACCCTCCTAGCCCCAGGGTGCTGGACCCACCCCTCTTTCCAAGAGCCCAGGAGTCCTAAGAGCTTCCCTCTTGTGTTCCTTAGGCGAGATGGCGATCCCATACTACACGGGACGGGTGACTGACTGGATTTCGAGCACACACAAGTCTTCCGCCTTCCATCAAGCTCTCTGGATGATGTCTTGGTTCACCATCGGCAGGTACAGAGCAGCTAACCAGGGGAGTATTTGTGGGGGGGGGGGGCTGGAGGAACTCCAGGGAGCAAGGAGCAGAGAATAACCGGGGTGCTGAGCAAGAGGGACCCACACGCTCTTTCTTACCCCCCTCAGTGCTGTGACGGAGTTTCTCTCCGACCTACTCTACAACACCACGATGAACCGGTTCCATGCCCACCTCCAGAGCTCCATCTTCAGGTCTATTCTACACCAAGAGATTGGCTTCTTTCATGCCAACCGAATAGGTAACGGGCCTGTGATCCCACACAGGGACTGTCCACCTCACGGTCACCTAACATGCCTCCCCCAGATCTGGTGGCAGTGCAGTGCCTTCCCTCTGGCTGGAGACACCTCCGTGATCTTCTCATCATCAGTGGTTAGAGTGTTGGACTGGGACTCAAAATTCTAGTCCTCACTCTCTCCTGAAGTGCATCAGATGACATTGCCTCAGCCGTTGAACTCTGGCCCGGCCCACCTCACAGGGTTGTGAGGATAAACTAGAGAGGAGGATGACTGCATAAAAGCCACTTTGGGTTTCTTGCAAGATGAGAAATGTTTGGATAGAAATGCAATACTAATCAATGAATGAATTAATAACGACGTAGGCCAACCCAGACTTCCCACCCCGAGGTCAACGTGCTTTGCTGTAGGCCAGCCACACACCCTGTGTGAGAGTAGCCACAATAACCAGTGGGGAGGAAGTTCAGGCGCTTGGGGGGAACGAGGAGAATCTGTGCCTGAACTGAGGGCAGGACTGCTGGCGAATCTGTCCTTGAAGGAAAAGTGAAGCAGTTGGATAGGGAGAAAGGCGGCTGCGCCCTGCCCTGCCCTGCTTTTCCTCTGCTGCCTGTCCTCGCCCACCTGCTAACCTGCTCTCTCCTCCCGGCAGGCGACATCACCTCCCGCGTTTCCTCCGACACGGACGCGATGAGCGAGGCCCTCACCGGGGACCTCAGCCTGCTGATGTGGTACCTGATAAGGGTCACTTTCCTCTATGGGATGATGCTGTGGCTGTCGGTGCCCCTGGCCTTGTTCATCACCGTGCTGCTGCCCTTCATCCTGCTGGTGCCCAAGCTGACTGGGAGATTTCACCAGGTACCCGGACGGGAGCGCGGTCCCGCTGGTCCCCGGTGCACGAGGCCAGGCCAGCCCTGGGGAGGACCGGCCAGACACCTCGGTGACTTTGAAAAGCGAACCTAAGAGCATGAGAAAAGTCCAGCTGGATCAGTCCCCTGTCCCTTCATCTGGCAGCAAACTGGCTGGAAACAGCACCCCTCGGGGAGGATGGGCGCAAGAGTCCAGCTGCTCAGCAGCTGGCGTGTGCAGGCCTGGTGCCTCTGATACTGGAGGGAGCACATGGCCAGCCAGGCTGGTAGCCACAGGTAGCTGCCGCCGCCTCCATGAATTTCTCCAGTCCCTTTTGAAAGCGGTCCAGCTTGGCAGCCATCCCTGCATCCTGTGGAAGTGAATCCCACCTGTGCTGTGTGAAGAAGCGCCCCTCATTTTATCTGTCCGAAACCTCCCCCATCAGCTGCATGGGGGGACCCCTTTGGGTCCCCTCTTCCCTTTCTCCACAGCGGGTGTCAGGTCAAACACCGCTATCCCCCGCCTTTTCTCTAAGCTGAACAGCCCCAGCGGTTGCATCCGCCCCTCATAGCAGAGCTGCCGCAGCCCCTGCAGCATCTCAGTTCCCTTTCCTGCCCCCTTCCCAATGCCACCGTGTCCTTTTCGGGAGTGGCAATGGGAGCTGTACGTGGCATTCAAGCGGTGGGGTGTGCCGGCTGAATGATGCCGTCCGTCTTGGTTTCAGATCGGTTTGGTTCTAACTTAAGTCGGACGTGCAGTTTGCCCTTTCACCAGCTTGATCTGGCCTGCCAGCCGGCCACTGTGGCAACAATCAGTGTCACCCAACACACGCCTCCCATAATGCAGTGGGAGCAACGCTGGGCAGTTGCCCATATATGAACAGGCGCCGTATAGAAGCCAGCTACAAATGGAGATGCTTTTAGATATTCCATCTGCTTGTACTGAAGACGTTGTATAATCATTAGAAGGTTTTCTGCCTTTTGTGCAAATCCGGCTTCATATATTAAAAAGGGAAAAAGGAAGCACAAATATTCAGCTGCCCTTATGAGGTGCCTCCGGGGGCAGCGTTGGGGGGCCCTGCTGTGTGTGTGTGTGTGTGTGTGTGTGTGTGTGTTTGTGCATGCGCACACTTGCACGCGTCCATGCCAACTGAGAACAGCTGAACCGTCACACCTGCTCTGTGGGGAAGGCCCCATTTCTGGCCTCCGGTTTTTGGGCCACACTGGCTTCACATCTCGACGTGGCGTCTGTGAGGCTAAGGAGCAGCTGCCCGCTTTGCCTAACTGATGCCTCATCTGCTGCCGCATCTTTTGCCCCTGCAGACCTTGGCACAGGAGGTCCAGAGGTCCTTGGCCAAGGCCAACGAGGTGGCCGTAGAGACCTTCCAAGCCATCACCACCGTCCGCAGCTTTGCAAATGAAGATGGGGCTGCGCGGCAGTACGAGGAGAAGCTGCAGGAGACCTACAAGCTCAACAAGTGGGAGGCTGTGGCCTACGCCATCTCCATGTGGACTAGCAACGTAAGGGACGCAAGTGCTGTTGAGGGAGGGAGCGGAGCTAGGTGCCAAAATCGGGCAGGGATGTGGGTGAGCAAGCCCCTGGGTCATAGGCCCGTTCAGTTAGTGAGGAAGGGCTGTGAGACCTCCTGAGACCCTAAAAGCTGTTCTCCCTCTTTCAGCTCTCCAGCCTGGCGCTCAAGGTGGGGATTCTCTTCTATGGAGGCCGCCTTGTCACTCTGGGGCATGTGACCAGCGGACAGCTTGTTACGTTTGTCCTTTATGAGATGGAGTTCTCCACAGCGGTGCAGGTGAGTCTGGGGCTGCACCTGCGTGTGCAGATGAGGAAGGAAGAATTTAGGAGGAATGGCTCTGGTCTGGCCATTCCCTGCCTCAGTTTCCCTCAGGTGCTGCCTTCCTCAGACAGAGTCTGTTTCCTTCCCCGCCAGGTCCTCCTCTCCCTTTACCCCAATGTGCGCAAAGCTGTGGGTTCATCTGAGAAGGTTTTCGAATACATTGACCGGACCCCCAAGATCCAATCCACAGGGACGCTGGCACCCGAGAATTTACGGGGACACGTTGTGGTGAAGGATGTCTCGTTCAGCTACCCCGACAGAGACAATTCCCTTGTGTTGAAGGTACTAAGGGAATGGGGCAGAAGCCAGAACTGTGGGAAGGAAGTTCAATGAGATTAGAAAGGGGACATCAAGAGAATTTTTTGCAGCCTGTTGGCATTCCTCAGAGGCTGGAGAGCAGGATTTGTGTGGAAGTCCACGGGTTTTAGCTGCCTTTAGGTGGCTGGGGTTAAGCAGGCCTGAGAGATCCCTTTCCTTCTTGGCTCATTGTGCTGCTTTCTGGGCATCAGAAACTAGAAATTAAAATGCAGAATTAGCTATGAAAGCAGGTAGGTTTGATCTGAAGGCTTGGCTGGGTCAGAGCATTGCAGAGTGACATGGCAGAGGTGGCGTCCTGGTGAGACCTCCAAGGGCAGAATTATCTCCAGGACTGTGGCCCTCTGCCAGTTCCCTGAGCCTCCTGGTCCTTCCAGTGTCCCTTCTTCTGATGCTGCCTCTGCCCCAGCCCTGTCCAAGTGGCCAAGCCAAGGAGTAGTAACCGTCATGCACCTTGTCCCCCCTTCTTTCTGGGAGGTGGTGCAAATTGGACCAAGAAAGAGAAGAAAGCAGATAGGTAATGGCAAGGAAGAGGAGACTGACCTGCAGAAAACATCTGGGCCAAGGGCTCCCCAAAGGCTGGAACCAAAACAGACCTTAACTGTGGCCTGCCCATTGTTCTTCCTCTGATGGGGCTGCATTCACACAGCATGACAAGCAACCCTGGGTGGTTACCATGGTTTACCACGATCTACCTGATAGACAGGCGGTTTCCACATCATCATGGTTTCCGTTTTCTCTGCTCAGTTTTTGCACTGTTGATGCATATCCTAGCAGCCACTGCACTTGTGGATCAATTCCAGGGTACATCACTCCCTGCCTATATTGCTTGCCTTTTCGTTATCACTCCACACAGAGAGGCAGGATGGCTCCTGAAGTCACTCTTTTCGAAAGACTTTGTAGTAGTTGTTTACCAGGACTGTGGAAACCACAGTTCTGGGTTCAGACATCATGAAAAACCATGGTGGAAACCACGGAACAAACCATTGTTTCTCATCATGGTTTCTAAAGGCCAAAATTACCATGGTGAAATACTACGATTGGGTTCAGACAACATGACTGACCAACAGTGATTAAAAACCCAGCCAGAAAGTGCAGCAGTGCTGTCATGGGGGAATTTGGAGAAGGTGTCTGGTGCCTCACGCAGCACAATGGAGTAATTCACAGTAGATCTTCCACTGCCCTGCATGTCCCTGAATTCCAACATCGAAAATTAATTAATTGCCCAGGGAAGAGGCGCGTCTCCCCAAAGCTGTGCCTACTTGCACCCTCCTTTGCCCACAGGGGGTTTCCCTGGAGCTGTGCCCTGGCAAAGTGACTGCCCTGGTGGGCCCTTCCGGGTCAGGAAAGAGCACCCTCGTGGCCCTGCTGCAGCGGTTCTACGAGCCCCAGCAGGGCCAGGTGCTGCTGGATGGCGAAGAGCTGGGCGAATACGAGCATCACTTCCTGCATCGGAAGGTAAGGGACCTTCCCGGCCCCTCGAAACACCTTAGTGTGGGCATCACTCCATGTTTCTGCAGCTCTTGGAGCAATCTGGATTGGCCCTCTTACCTAGCTGTCCTCTGGGATGCTCTGTAAGCTCTGCTTGCTTCCTGGAAGCCTGCCCTCCATATGACTGCTCGAACCCCGTGGCAGTTTTGTGTCCCTCCTGCAACGCGTACGCAGCGTGGGGAGCACGGCTGAGAGCGGATGTCCTTCGCCGCACCTGGCTTGCTGCGGTGCTTAGAGGTTGGATCCAGCATCTCTAGGGAGGTGCCCCAGGGAGACGGGGGAATGCTGGTGGGGAGGGGGAGCTCGAAAGTGCTGGTGAAGTGCTGAGGTTGAGGACGTAGGAGACCAGGGAGAAAGCGGGGAGGAAATCCAGCTGCCGTGTGACCTTCAGGAGGATTGCAAGCGGGGCTTTCTGAACCCGTGAGAGGGCAGCTCCTCATGAAGGGGAGGGGAGCAGCAGAGGTTTGGGACCCGAGAACTAGGCTTCAGGTGAGAAGGAGCCACTCAGCACACAAGATGATTTTTAGCCAAGGAGTGACTGCTTGGGAAGAGCAGGACATTGCAACAGGACATAAAAGATACGGGCCAGGTTTGCACAATCACAGGGGAAGCGGCCACAGTGGTGTCTTTTCCGTGTTCCTCGTGTGACAGTCACGCGATGCATGATGTGGCTCATTACCCTTGCAGAGTTCGGTTTCCCACGGTGTCCAAACCCAGTGAGGTGACTTCCAAACCATGCCAGGACCCAGCTCTCTCCCACAGTCCTCCAACCCAAAAAATCCAGTTTTTATATTTTTGTATTGTTACTTATTTGTTGGAAGCCACCCCGAGGCTTATGTGAATGGGGCGGCATACAAGAATCCCAAATAAATAAATAAAATTGCTCGAAGCTAAGGCGTTCCCAGAGGAGAGCACTTGAAGCACCAGCAGAAGATGCTATTGCATAATAGAAATAATTGACTAGAAATCCAACTTGTCTGGCAGTCTGCAAAGAAGCCAGGGCCAGGTGCTTAACGCTCTCTGCCCCTCCACAGTGGTGCCATGTGAGACTCGCTTCCTGTGCCCACATCCCTTGCTGGGTTCTTTTCTCTCCTGGAATTCAGTAGCCCTCCAGATTCACTGACCCTTCTGCCCTCCCTGCAGGTGGCGCTGGTGAGCCAGAATCCAGTGCTCTTTGCCCGGCCCTTGCGCAGCAACATTGCTTATGGCTTGGAGAAGGAAAACGAAAAAGTTACGAAAGAAGAAATGGACAGGAAAGTGGTGGAGGTGGCCCAGCGAGTAGGAGCTGATAAGTTTATCACCAACATGAGCAACAGCTACGACACGGGTAAGAGCCGCCCCCTCGTCCCTCCTCCTTGCAGTGCACCAAATCCCCATCTGCTGGAGAGGAGATGGCTGAGTATAGCTTGGAGAAAGTCCCTGCTTCGATCTGTTGGAAAGGGCGGGTCCCCAGGGATGGGGAAAGAGCGGGTCCCGTGGGTCCCGGCGGGTAAGGAAAGAGTGTTCGGTATCTGAGGTTGTGCAGAGCTGCTGCTGCTTGGAGGAAACCGCACTGGGCTTGATCAGGGACTGGGAAACCTCCTTCAGTGTTTGGATCAGTTTAGTCCCAGGCGATGTCGTTGTGGGGGCTCACATGGTGGGGCTGCATCGCGGAGTGATGAGGAATGGTGTTGCTCCTCCCCCAGTGCAGGCAGCCATTGAACGAGACCCCATGGAGGTGTTTGTAAGAGGGGTGTGTGAGTTCATGGAGAGGAGGCGTAGCTCTTCCCTTCCCAGCAGTGATCCCACTCGAAAATGTCTCCCCTCCCCACAGTTGTAATTACACGTTAAAATCCTCCATTGCCACCAATGCTTGCTTGCTTGCTTTAATTAATTAATTAATTAAAACATTTTTATGTCGCCCCATTCGCCGAAGCGAATTTTTAAGGCCTCACTAGCGGTGCGGAAGAAAGAAAAGGAAGCCCCTGTGTCTGCCATGTCAGACTGGAGATTTAATTGATTAATTGCTTGATTTCTATGTTGCCCAACAATTTGGGCAATTTACAACAGCACAAATAATGCAATGTAAAGGGACAAGCAACATGAAAAACATCATTAAAAAGGTTATCATAGAAGATTTAAAACCAAATAAAAATGCTTATTAAAAAAAGCTGTACTAGCTGATATGAATGAATCAGACAAGCTGTTTAAGCAGCTAACAAAGCCCCAGTAAACGAATTAAATGCTCTGCAGTTTTGTTAACCACCCTGAGAGCTTCAGCCATTGGGAGGTATGATGATGAAATGAACAGATAAAACAGAAGAGTCTTAACATGGCATGAAAAGGATATCAAAGGCAGGCTTCAATGAGGAGGTCATTCCATAATGGGGGGGCGCACCCCTGAAAAGGCCCTTCTGGGGCTGTATGGGCATCTCCTACAGGCCATGTATTCCACAGGTCTGAATTTTCCCATCCCTAGATTTGATGGACAAACCATTTGTCCGGGTACCAGGAAGCGCTTAATGCTTTACTGTCACATGTGCTCCAGAACAGGAAGAATTCTGAAATGATTTCTCTGAGGTTCTGATGGGATGTAGATCAAACCGGGACTTCGGGTCATAACAAGAGTGCAACTTCTAGAGAGCCTGCCTTCCTGAAAAACCCCTCCTGTTTCTCACCCTGGCTGCAGATGCTGGGGAAATGGGGGGCCAGATCTCCGGGGGCCAGAGGCAGGGGATCGCCATCGCCCGGGCTCTAATCCGAGACCCCAAAGTGCTGATCCTGGACGATGCCACCAGCGCCCTCGACACAGAGAGCCAGCAGCAGGTGAGCGAGTCGGGCACTTCACTCCTGTGGCAGCTCTTGCCAGTCCAGATGGGATGCCAAAAAACATGACGAAAAGGAAATAGAAAAGGTTCGGGGGCATTCACTGAAAGTGCCGTTTGTCCTTTTCAGGTCGAGAAAGAGATCTATGAAGGGGCGGCGCGTAGCGAGCGTGCCGTCCTGCTCATCTCTCACCGCCTCCACAGCGTAGAGCGTGCCAATCTCATCCTGGTCATGGAAGACGGGGAGATCAAGGAGAGGGGGACCCACCCGGAACTGATGGAGAAGGGGGGAGCCTACTGGCAGCTGCTGCAGAAGCAGCAGAATGGAAACAACGGAAGCAATCACAGCCCTGCGAATGCGGGCAACAGCCTGCTGTAACCATTTCGGAAAGAATGGGGGATTCTCGGTGAGACTCTGAATGGGGGATTCTCGGTGAGACACCCATCGCCGATGGTGGAGCTCAGTTAGCCTTAGCGAATGCGGGAGATCTGATGAAACACACTGTCTGTTTTCACGGCCTTTCAGTAATCTTAATGCTTATAGCAACACACTCCCCAGCCAGCCCTGCCTGTGAGGGGTAAACGCTCTTGAAAAAGCTGGCGCCAGGGGTGGGGTCTCCACAGATAGTGCTCCAACCAGTACATACTTTGGAGGCTTCTAAACAACTGAGAAGAAATCTGTTTATTTAATGTTGAATATGCTGCTGTCTTCGCAAAGAGGCCTCAGTCCCATGATCCTCTTGGACTAAATGTCTCCTTTAATTCATCCTGCTAGAGAGGATTTCGCTGCTCTGGTCATCCCTGGACCATAGAGTCAAAGAGCAGCAGAACTGGAGTGGCCCATGAAGGCCACTGGGTCCAACCGGCATTCAGAGCAGGACCCCAAGTTAAAGCCAAGTTTGCTCCTGTTCCAGAGCCAGCTCTACCATTGACAAAGTGCCTCAAGTGGAAGATACTTGAAAGACAGAGAATGGGGATAAAGGATAAATGCAGTTTGATGCAAGCACATTTTTGTGCGTCTGACTGCAAAATGCCTTGGGCTGGCTGCATGCTGGTCCTTCTCCCCCGTTTTCAGCTAGCTAACATTTGTGCAAATGTATTGCATTGGGGGAACAGGCTTAGCTGAGACGGGGCCTTTTTTGTTGTGGTACTCCTCTTTTGCAACTGCCCCCTGCTTATATTTTCAGTCCTGGAGGAAGACTTTTCTATTCTGTGCTGGCTTTCATTGTTTGGTTGTACTGTAGAAAATTTTGAAGGTATTGTTTCCAATTCTGTAAACAGTGTAGAAGGCCATGTGTGTGAAAAATCAGGGTGTTGATGCTTACCATTGATTTAGGTGTGTTCCTAAAGGCAGAGCTCACGGGCTTTGTGAAGCTGAGTGCAGACCAAAGATCCCACTATCTTTGGAAGCCTCCTTATCCCTTGAATCCCAACGGAGCCCCCAGAAGTGCAGTGCCTCCCGGAAGAATAAGCGCACACGTCTCAGCCGTTTTCCTTGTCTTCACCTGGGTATTCTTAAGGACAAATTCCATTTTGTACTTTGCGTAAATATAGAGGCATTCCCTAAAATGCAGGCAGATCACGTCTGGCTATGCTAGTTGTTCTTTCTTTTTGTATGTCTATAAATTAAAACGAATTCTTACTTTGAATTTTGTCTCTCACCATGTTTTTTGAGGGCATTTGGACACGGCTCCTGCAAGGCATTGCCAGGCCTGCCTTCTCTCCATCCCTTTGCAACAGTACCAGCTCCTGGTCTGGGGTTCCTTTGAACAAGGCACCACCCCCAGTGGGCCACTTCCTTGGGGAGGCCACCTTCTCCTTGTCCTCCTTCACTTTTGCTCTTGCTCTTTCCTCCTATGGCTACCAGTTACTTGCTTGGCAAGCCGGTGTAAGATGGCTGTAGCCTCTGCCCAGACCACAGCGAGAGGCAGGTGAAGTGAGTAAGCTGCAGCGCTGAAAGGGGAAGCCAGTCCAGAAAAGAGGGAAGTGGTCCCCCAGCTGTGCTTTTCCTACTCTGCCATGTGATTTCTTGTTGTTATGTGCTGTCAAGTTATCTTCGACCTGTGGCAAACCATGCATGAAAGCCCTCCAAAATGTCAGCGGCCATTGCACCTTCATTCAGCTCTTCCAGGTTCAAGGTAGTGGCTTCCTGGATGGATTCAGTCCATTCCGTGTTTGGTCTTCCCTTTTGTCTTCTGCCTTCTTCGCAGATCCTAAAGTCAGTTCTGGGGCTGGCTGCTTCTCTTGGTCTCTCTCAGATGTCACTTTTCCATTTAACTTTTGGAGTGGCATAGCACGAAAGGAAACCCCCATGGATATGATTGTTACTTCCAGGAGTGTTCTCCCAGCTTCTTCCCTTAAGAGTGATAAATCCCCTCTCCCCTTTGAATGGACTTTCAGTAGCAGCATGTCAGACAGAGATCTACCTGGTAGAGCATCTTGCAGTACAGTGCCAGCTGCTCCTGATGAGTTTTCCCTTTTTGTGGAGCAGTTAGAGGCACAGGAGGTCTGCTCGGAGAAGCAAATTGGCAGCCCCGTGGTAAAACGGCTGCCGTTTGCCGCTGGGGTGAAAAGCAAATCTGTTGCGATAGAGATCTCTTCCGTGGGCCCTGCGGAACAAAGGGCGGCACGGTGCCTGCCCGTTACTGCTTCCTTTCCCATTTTAACGGCTGCCTGTGTGGTTTCCATATCCTGTTGTCTGATACACCGCGGAAAGCACAATCCCCAGAGATGAGCCAATGGCTGACGAGCGCGCGCGCTGCATCATTAGTCGCTAGGCAAATTCGATAGCGGCAGGCTGGAACCGCGGGGGTTCCCCTGCCCGCGGCCCGGAGTGCGCAGCCAGCGCCCTCTGGCGGTGCAGAGTCGTGCCCCAACGACGGGGGAGGAGGACGTACGCCGAACCCAGGCTTGGGATCGGGCTGAGAGTGCATAGGACAGGCGTGGGCGCGCAGATTTTTCAAAAGTACCTACAATACTAGGTTTGGACCTGCATGGCCAGAAAAGCTCCACCAGCTGGATTTCTGCCTGTAAAGTGGATCAAATCGGAATCCAGCTGCAGGGCACCTCCTCGAATGGTGCTTTTGGACCTCGTTGACTTGCTGGCTCCAATTTTTCCTCCACCTGGTAAATTCAGGTCCAGGGCCGGGAACTATCCGATAGCCCTTTCGTAGCCATTTGCAGTGGGCTAGATTTTAGACTGGACGACCTGCTTTTATGGGGAGCCCTTCCCTGTACGGGGAAAGGTGTGTTCACTTCCTTCAAAATGTGATGAACTGGTGCCGCTGTATTTGCGGGCCCATCTGCTCAGCCTGGTCGTCTGCCCCGAAGTCCTGCTCGGCTAACACCGGGCGTATTTAGCCCGAGTGCGGTTCTCCAGCCGCTCTGCGAAGCGCCGCGCTTGCTCACCACACGCCCCGCTCTTCTCTTCTCCTCTTCGCCTGCCCGCAAACCCCGTTCCTGCGCATGGATTTAAATCCCCCCTAGGAAAAGACATTGAACTGCTCCAAATTTGGCCCCACTCTTCCTTAGGCGCCTTCTTGCTTAACTGAAGAACCGATCCCTGACAAGCAGGAGCTGGACTGACGTGAGAACCGAGCATAAACACGTCTGCACCGGGCACAGCCTGCTGCGCGCTTTGTACGTCCCTCTAAGCAGAACGGGGGGGGGGGGAATGCACCCCAGTCCTGCTACTGCAACAAAAGGAAGGGCGCTCTCAGGTGCCTGCTCAGCCTTCCCTAAGCCGCCCCCGAAGGTTTTGCACTACCACCCACATCCTCCCTGACCGTCGGCCATGCCGACCGGGGCTGATGGGAGCCGAACTCCCAAAGCACCAAATTCGGAAGGCCATGGAGGACGGTAGTGGTCCTGATACAGCGGGGGGGGGGGGGGGGGGGGGGGGGCGCCCCCGTCCATGTGGGATGCAGGAGCTAAGCCCCTGCCAGCGGATCGCCGCCCCCGTTTTCTGGTTGCCGGCAGGGAAGGGGCAGCCCCGTCCCCAAAAGGGCAGTCGCGTGAATCCCCCCCCCGGCGCAGCAGGGCTTCTCCGTGTAGGGGTCCCTTGTGCGCCCCGTCCGAGCCCCTCTCGCCCTTCGCGGGGCCGTGGGTGGCAGCCCCGACGTGGCGCACGGAGGGAGGGAGCGAGGGAGGGAGCGAGGGCGGGCGCCGGAAAGCGAGGCGCTCGCTGCTTTCGCTTTCGAGAAGGGAGGCGACGATGGCGCTGCAGGACGTCTGCGGGCTGCCCCGCGGCGAGTGGGACTGGAACCCGCTCGGAGGCGCCGCCACGCAGCCGGGCGCGGTTGGCCATTACGCCTTTGGGGCGCGGGAGCCGCAGATCGCCTTGCCCCCGGGGAGGCAGGTACGGCCCGGGCGAAGGAAGCGCGGCGAGCGGGAAGGGGGGGGGGAGGGGAGGGCGCGGCCTCGGCGTGACTTCGGGAGCGCGCGACGTCGCGGGCGGGGAAGAGGCCGTCTCTGAGCGCGCGCAGAGTGTCTGCTGCACCGCGGAGCGACCCAGGTTTTCGCGGGTGCGGACCGAGTGAGGGCACCCGGAAGAAAAGTCGTGCTCTTGTGGAGCGAAGTGCACGCGGAGGGGGGTGAGAGAGAATAAAATACGTGTCCTGTCCGTTCCTGGAAGAAAAATCAGGCCCATTTCAGATGAGCGCCGCATCCTAAGCGCAGTTTTCCGTGAAGTCGAGCCCTAGATCTGTGGAGCATTTCAACTTTTCGCGTGACCAGGAAAGTCAAGCGGTGGTGAGGGAGAGGTGAGGGAGGAGCATTTGCCCCTCCCCCATGTTTGGAGCTTGCAGGAAAGTAAATTTTGGATAAGCACCATGAGGTGCTGAAGCAGAAGCACGGTCCCGGGGGGGGGGGGGGGGGGGGACTGGATGACCTCCGCGGGTCCTTCCCATGCTGCGAGGTTGTGAAATTCCTCTGGCACTGTGATGCCTCCAGGATTGGCCTCTAGATAGCTTGAGTAGACCCCATGGCTTAGGCATGGCCTCTGAGCATGTGCACAGACGGGCCTGTGGGTCTAAGAATAATGAAGAACGGGTGCAGCAGGCCTGTGGCAGGTGTGGTCATTCAGGTGTTGGACTGAGAACCTGGGAGATGCAGGTTCTGGGCTCCACTCAGCCGTGGAGCTCAGCAGGTGACCTTGGGCTAGTCACTTATTTTCAGCCTCACACACCTCACAGGGCTGCTGTTGTGAGGATAAAATGGAGTGGAGGACTAGGCAAGCTGCCAGGGGTTTCTCGCAAGAGGAGAAAAGGAAGGATATAAGTGCAGTGTGATATAACAACAATAGCAACACTGCTCACAGCAAGTGGTTTGGCTTTCCCATGAGCCAGAGATTCAGAACCCTGTTTTAAGAGCATCATGTGTCCAGTGATGTGGGACAGAGATTTTGCTAAAGCAGGAAAATGTCTTGTGCTTCTCCATTTTCTGCAGGAAATTCTCCATGTTATTCATCACGATCAATGGATGCCAATTCTGCTATGAACCAAGCAGGGCACCTAGGAAGTTGCACTTTACACTTTCCAAGTGCTTATCTTTAGCAAATCTATAAGAAAATGCACAGATGTCATTAAAATACATCCGTGTCTCAGGATAAATAGAACAGATCAGCAATGAGCTTTGGTGGTTTATTAGCTTCTGTGCCACCTCCCCTGCCCCATCTAAAAGGCTGAAATGGCTCTCCTAAGGCAGTAGGAGCTTTAGGGGGCGATCCGGTGCCCCTAAGCAGCGTCTGAGGGACAACAGGGTATTTTGGAGTCCCAGATCTGAGGGTGGGGACCTGGGACCTGGAACTTGGACTCCTTCCCTACTTCTTGCACCAGCTGCTTCCCAAGGGTGGGAAAGCTACCTTGGAGAGGGTGGGAAGGGGAGGAGACTGGAGAAGCCAGACGACCTCCCTCCTTCCCCTTCAAGATGTGCCAGGAACAGGGAGAAAAAAGCCCATCTAGTGAAAATGAGGACAGAGAGGGAAAGACTACCTGCTCAGCTCCTCCAATTCTGCATTGAATGACTGGCAACATCCAAGGTGGGGTGCTTTATGCCTGTTGCCATAGGATTTGGATTGGTCCAGCCCACTCCTGGAATGCCCCCCCCCAGCTTCTCTGAAATAGAATTTGGCCCCTTATGCTGAAGAAGGTTTCCCACGCCTGTATTAGTATTTTCAGGACAGGTCCTTCACTAGCCCCTCTGGCTGGCAGCTGGTAGGCTGGGCAAGAGTGGCCGCCCCAAGGGAAAGGAAGGGACTGGTCACCCTTGTTATTTCTGATTTTCCATATCCATCCTATGGCAACTGCTCCCCACATCCTTTTGCAGCCCTCTGAGTTCCTGAAGACTCACTGTGAGGATGGCAGTGATGGGCACCAGATCGAGCTGGCCCATGGCACCACCACCCTGGCCTTCACCTTCCAGCACGGGGTGGTTGTAGCCACAGATTCCCGGGCATCAGCTGGCAGCTACATAGGTGAGTAGCCCACTCTCCCAGCCGGGGAATTGTGGGGCTCAGGCCCATGGGGTCCTGGCCCCCAACTGCTTTCCCAGGCTGTGAGTGTCCATTGAGGTCGATGGAAGATGCCTTTCTGGACTTATTTGACATTTTGGATAGGGAATGCTGCTGGGGATGGAAGGGTTAACTCTCTGTTCCCACCTGCAGGGATGAACCCCTCTGCAGCTTTTCTTCTGAGCTGAAATCCTGAAGTGGGAGCCATTTTCCTCCAAGAAGGGATGGCAAATTAATTCCAGTCAAAGATAACTACTGATTTGGGATGGTCTGTGGGCAGGGTGCAAACAAATTGAGGAATTGATTTTGTTTGAGATGGTTTGGAGGAGAAATCAATTGACTGGGTTTGCATCTTGTGAAATTAAAGTAAATCCTAGGGGCAGGATCTAATGTTAGTCCTACATAGAGCAGACCTATCAAAATTAATGGGGTTGAAGTTATAACTTCTCTACATGAGGCTTTTAGCCAGCTACTTCACCAAGACATCCGCTTTCGGTTTCTTTGCAGGATTAAAATTGGCTCCTTTACATGTGCTTTCCTTCCTGGGATTTTTCTCAGTCTTTCTATATTATTGTAATTGTTGTAAGCCGTCCTGAGATATTTATATAAAGGACAGCATACAAAAGTTTTTAATAAATACATACATAAATATGTTCCATTACTTAACCTCAGGGTGGCACCATAGTACAGCAAACTTGTGCAAATACAAGGGTCTCAGTGTGATTTTCGGATAATACCACATTTTCCGCCACCAAAGAAAAGGCACAGAAAAGGTTATAAACCATGGGAGAGACCTTGGAGGATGGTGACATCATGCAAAGCACCCATACCCTGCCATGTGTGAGGGACACAATACATGCCTCATATAAGTCTTTAGTCGTGACTAACTGAAGTTTTGTTCATTTCAAGCATTCTATTCTGTGCAGAATTAACACTGGATCCTGTCCCTAGTAATGCTTTATTTATTTATATATATATATATATATATATATATATATATATATATATATAAATTAACAAATTTAAATTTTGTGCAGATTTGCTTCTGATGGGCCCAGGCCTCAAAGCTTATCACTGCTTAGTAACACCCCTGTTCCTCACTATTTGGGATTGATGTCCTTTCTAATAACCTCTCCTCCTCCCTGCAGACACAAAGGTGTGTAACAAAGTGATTGAGATCAACCCCTACTTGCTGGGCACAATGTCTGGAAGCGCCGCTGACTGCCAGTACTGGGAGCGGCTCCTGGCCAAACACTGCAGGTACCCTCCCCAAATCTTCCAGCTCTATGAAATGAAATACACATATTTCATTTCCTTGCAGATATGCAGGCTGGATTTTAGAAACTTACTTCCTTCCTTCCTTCCTTCCTTCCTTCCTTCCTTCCTTTCTCTAAAGTTTTCAGGTAGTTTACATATGAAAACAACCCTATTAAAACAACTAAAGTAAGGATGTAGGTTGTGCATGTGCCCATCAGACCAAGACCATGAAACCTAGCTCTCTGAAACTTGGCCCATGTGCTCCAGGACCCTAGCAGTGTGCATCTCGGTTATTTTGTTTCTCAAAACTCAATCAGACTTCTTGGTGGCACCAGGTGTCTGAGATCCCTAACCAGCCTAACATCTTATAGTCCATCTGATTTGAAGCTAGGGGAAATTAGCAGACCAGGGGACAGAGTTATAACCTTGCCATTTCTCCTTTACTGTGGGGCAGCCCCTCCTCAGTGGGATAGAGTGGAGAGGCCATTCACTCCATGAGGGGTGGAGGTGCACCGTGGGAGCAATGCTGGCACAGACATGGTAGGCACAAAGTGTCTACCAACACCACCAGCCGTGCAAGTTTGCCTGAAGGCTTTGTTGTATGAAGCTAAGGGATATGCCAGGTCCAATTGCTAGTAATGCAGCGTGACAAAGGGACAGCTACAATTTATTACAAACCCTTCCCCGCAAAAAAATGGACTGGAAGGGAAAGCTTGTGTGTGCGAGCCAGTTTTTCAGAAGGTGCTTAGAAAATCCACGTATTTTGCCTCCCAAACTACACGGGGAAGTGTATTCCAGAGAGTGGGTGCTACTCTTAAGAAGGGACTGCTTGTGTAATACTATCTGGTGACATTCTGCTTGGCGTGGGACAGCCAACAAGGCTTGTTCTGAATGAACTTGAAGGTCAGCTGGCAAACACCAAACATCTGCTGGCGTACTAGCAGGTATGAGGGAGAGAACGGATGGGCTGCACACCATCAGCACACATAGGAACTGGCAGAGTGCAAGGCGACAAGCCCCTGTCATGGGAGGCTTGTGAGCTAAATTCAACACAGGAAACAGGCAGTGACAGCTGGGCAAATAGGGGTACACCATGTGGCTGTTTCAGTTTCTTGGGTGCTTAGGATCATTCGCAGGTCAAGGGCACCATCCGTTGTAAGTCCAGACAGAAAGGTCCTAGTATTTCCAGTCGGATATGCTGGCCAGGGAATGCTTAAGAAGTATAGGGCTTTTTTTCTGCTACGAGTGTACTTGGAGGAGCTAAAGAGGCAGCAGTGGTGGGGTGGGAGGCATGTGGAAAAAGCTGGGGAGCCGGAGTTCCTTAAAGAATAGCCAGAAGGATCACTCACTGTGGCTCTTCTTCCGTTTCCCTTCCCTGCTCTCTGCTTTCTTCCCCACAGGCTGTACTACCTGCGCAACAAAGAACGGATCAGCGTTTCGGCTGCCTCCAAGCTGCTGGCCAACATGTTAGCCGAGTACCGGGGGATGGGGCTTTCTGTGGGCAGCATGGTGTGTGGGTGGGACAAGAAGGTAAGGCTCCCTTGCAGGGATGGGAGGATTTGGGGCAGTGAAGGAGAGGGGAGGAGCATGTTGGAGCTGGGATGAAATCAAGAAGGGGTGCTGGTTGTCCAGATGCTGGAATGATTGGCTGGCGGACAGAGGGAGAGAAAGAGAATGCAAGGAGGGGGAAATCTGGGAGGCAGAGAGATCCCTGGGCTCTTTCATACAACAGTTTTATATCTGGTTCCAGTGGGGACTGTAGAGCGAGTAGCTGCAGATGACTCAGGTGACTGAGTCAAGCTGCATGCTCTGAGACAGGGGCTGTAGTTCAGTGGCTGACCTGAGTGAAAACTCTCCCCCTGGCATTTTTGACATGCACAGTCTGCTACTTTTGTGTGAAGAAATCATTCTTATGCAAAGTTCATTCAGGGCATGTTCTCAAAGGAAATTTGGAGGAGGGGGCAGGGCTCATTTCCAGCCTGGTGGGTGCTCTGCTGTTTTGGGGAGAGGCTGTTCCAGTTCTGCACATCTCTCTGTCATGTGGTATCAAGCAAGGAGGAGTCAGGCCACAGTCGTCATCATCAGACTGTTGTGTTAGGGCTTGATGGGGAAAGCCATTCTCAGCTGAGAAATTAGGGAAAGCCAGAGCACTGATGAGGGTATGAGACAGCAAGTTCAAGGAGTTGTGGGAAAGGGGGATTCTCAACGTTTGAGGAGAGGAATGGGGACCAATGAGTTGGGAACGGGATTGTAAGGAGATGGTCAGGTCTTGGCTGGAAATGTGCAGGTTGCATTTCAGGGGTGCAGAACTCCTCTCTGTCTGAGGGCCCAATTCCACTTTCAAGCCGCTGTTGGGGGCTGCAGCCCAGTGGTGGGTGGGGCTGGAAGCAGGAGGGGCAGAGCCAACCTTCCCCCAAATACCACCATACTTAAATCTCTTACACTGCCTGAAACGAAGCATCAGAAGAGTTGTTTTAACCTTTTAGAGTGAAGAAAAATGATGCAAACACTGGGGTGGTTGGAGGGAAGGGGTGGCCTCAGGGCAAGGAGGCATGGCTTTCTGGGAAGGCAAGAGGGCTGGAATGAGCCTCATGCCATACCCCTGTCCTGTGTCATGGGGCAGATGAGAGCCAGGATTTAGGGGGCCCTCTTCCCCACTAACCATTTCTCTTTTCAGGGTCCTGGCCTTTACTACATAGATGATAATGGGGTGCGCCTGTCGGGTCCCCTCTTTTCCACGGGTAGTGGCAACTCCTATGCCTATGGAGTGCTGGACAGTGGGCACCGTCCCGATCTCAGCGTGGAAGAGGCCTATGATCTTGGCAGACGGGCCATTGCTTATGCCACCCACCGTGACTCCTATTCAGGCGGGGTGGTGAACAGTAAGTTGCCCAGATGCACTCCCTCAGTTACCGCATCCCTCATTTGCAGTCTCACCAAGTGTCTGGTGGTTTGGTGAGATCCTGCTCTAGTTTTGCGCATTTTCACTAGTGTGGTGGTGTCTGTCTTTGTAGTGTATCACATGAAGAAAGATGGATGGATCCGGGTCGGACGCACAGATGTCAACGAGTTGCTTCACCAGTATGCAGAAGCTAAGAAATGAGCCAAGAGGACCATTGAGGACCTACAATGTCAGGAGAAGTTTTGACACTCAGGGCTGAAGGAAGGAAAGGGAAGGAGACATACAGCAATGACGGGGCAATAGTAAAATTAAGTTCAATCTGCGTGTTCTCTGACTTATTGTTCAGATGTGGAAGAGCCTGGGAGGAAATACGATTAAGACTTGGAGAAGCAGACAAGAGCATTTGGGATTAGGGCACTATCCTGTGAAGATGTCCATATACTCCCAGCAGCAGAGGCTGACCACGATCCAATGCAGCGTGGGAGGAGCAGCAGAAGCAACCTTTGCCTGCCCACCCTCCCTCTCTCCGGTTTTGTTAGATGGCGCTTTTGCCTGTCTAGTTGGAGCATTATTTTGCCGGGGTGAGTGGCGGGGTGGAGGTTGATATGGAGAGGCTTCCGGATGGCTCATACCCCGGGCTTCTCCAACTTCTTGCCTCCTAAATGGCACTTTTAACGCCCTCCCCTGCAACTGGCTTGAGTCCTCAGTCCGGCCAGCATGGTTCTTTCTGTGCCGGCTTGATGAGGTCAGAGCTTTGTCTTCAGTCTTGCAGCTGAGAATATGCAATAGCCGTTGCTCCTTCTGGCGATGTCCAAAGGCCTTAGAATTGCTCCCTAAGTTGTAGGAAATCCCTCCTTCTAAGCCATGCTCTTTTTAATTCAGAGGGAAGCCTTACCGTTAACTTTTTGGGGAGAAATACTTGATTCAGTTTTGTTGTCACATCAGAAAAGGGAAAAACAGAGCTTTTGTTTCTGTTGAAAATCTCTTAGCTCTTTCTTCTTAGCTCTTCTTATCCATAGATGTCCTTCAGCTTTCCTGCTAGGAGGGCTTTTATCTAAAGACTAATTGCAGAATCATTCACCTGAAACAAGCTATATGTTGCTATTGGGTGCACCTGTGAAACTAGACCACACTTTGAACAACGTTGTAGGGCACCTGTCGTGTTACAGGGCTGGCCTAAGGAGGACAGAGATGTAGCACTGTGGTGCAGAACCTCTTTTAGCCTGGTGGCCAGATTCTATTTCAGAAGAGCTCTTGGGAGTAGCATTCCAGGGGTAAGTGAAGCCAAAAGTCAAAGGGCCTTTCCCTAGCAGGATTGCCTTCTCCAGTGAGTCTTGTCCTCTCATGTACCTGAAGTATGACAGGCTCAGTTTCATTGTTCTTGCTTCCAGGAAACTTTGACTTGATTTGAACCAGGACTCTTGTATTCATCTGTCAGTCCAGGGTATTCACAAAGCTCTCCTCCAACACCACATTTGGAACGCGTCAATTTTCTTGCTGTTGGCGTTCTTTGCTGTCCACTTTTGGATGATTGTGACTCTAGACTCCAGTGAAATGTCCTTACACTGGCCGATATTTTCCAGTTCTTTCATTACTGCCCTTCCAAGTCTCAATCTTCTAATTCACTTTAGCTAGAAAGCATATCAGAGGTTATTCATTACATGTCAAACTCACCTACCTTACAGGGCTGGTGTGAAGTTTAAAATGAGGGTACACGGTTGTGTATGGCACCTTTGGATTCCTTCAAAATCTGCTGAATCAAGTAGACAGCCTTTTAGCTTGCTCTGTTTCTACCCAGAATGTTTTGCAGGAAAATAGTGGGTTTCTGATTTACTTCCAAATTAAACGGATGGAACAAAACAGAAGAAAGCAGGTTGAAAGGCAAGACACAGAACATTTCTGGGCAGCCCAACTTCTCAGTAGTTGGCCAGACAGGCAGTATAGGAGGCCTAGCAGCAGAGGGAACTTGGTATGATTGGTGAAAATGGCTGCAGCAGGGAAGGGAAGCAAAAAAGCACTTTCATAGGCAGCTTCTGTTCCACAGAAGAATAACCACAGTTGCCCCAGAATTTTTTAAAAAAAATCTCATTTTCCTGGCAAAGTCAAACTGAAAAAAAAAATGTTTTCTATGGAGGCCTTGGTTCCTTGTGCCTGCTTCTGCAGAGAGATGTAATATCCTCACTGCAGGAACTGTTGTGAATGCCTGTTGAGGAAGCACCTGCAGCCTTCCAACTGTGCAGAAGCCCTCTAAAATTTCTGTGGTACACAAGGGCCTCATTTTCAAGGGAAACTACAGCACAAAAACACACTCAAGGATTGAGTATAGGTTGCCATTGAACTGTGCGTTGTCTGGACAGTCATGCTAATAAGCCATGGATTGTTAACCATGGAAAACCACAGTTCACAACCCAAGAGCCAACCATGGTGTCTCTTAATGGGTGGTTTATGGTTAACAGTACATGGTTTGTTAGCACGGCTGGGTTCAGACAACATACATTTCAACAACAACCAGATATGTGTGTTACTGTGTTGTCAGTCATTTGGTGTTGGGTTGCAAGGTATGGGTTGTTCACCATGATTTGTTTCACTTGAGTTCAGCCTGAGCAAGCTCCTCAGCCTCAAATCTCCTGTTGTACAATGGGAAGCACAGTGGCACACTGTATCTTGATCACAAGGCACTCTGCATGATAAAAATGGTCAAATCTGAGGCAGAGGTAAAATCTGAGCCAATGAACCAGGGCCTTTGGCCTGAGACTCTGTGAATGGGTAGCAAGGTGTGGTTATACAGGACTAAACAAAATTTTCTGTATGCTCAGAAGCACTGCTTTTCATTATACATCCCCTCAATTTTTTTAAATAGTTATGGAGCTCAAGCTTGCCTTTAAACTTGAGATTTGGGATAGTTGGGAAAAGAGGAAAACTAAAGAGTTTTGAGCTCCTTTAATGTTGGAAACAGCTACACATTTCAGAATTATTGCACGGTAAAAACCTCCACATCAGGAATAAAATGCAACCCACATGTCAGTCAATGTTGTGACACTCCTACCTGCATGCATTGCTGCGTCCACAGTTAGTATTTGATCTCTGGCTAAACCTGCACACCATGATTTCAGCAGCAGCATGTGATTTTCCTATAGATTTCTTCAGGGGTACAAGTGTCTTTTTAAACATTTGAACTACAAATGGTTGAAGCAGGACCAGTGTCAAGGGTTGCCATCCTTGGGCACCTGCCAAGGGCCCACACTCCAGCGGGAGCCCACTGATAACAACCCCCTGCAGTAGCTCCTCTTCACTGGGGCAGCCTCCTTTGCTTGATTCTCATTCTGCCAGACAACAGTGGTGGTGGTGGTGAGAAGGAACCAATGCTCCAGTCTGGTTCTCTCTGTGTTGAGCAAGCAACTCCAGAGATGAGGCAGAAGAGCAAAAGCATCTGGTGACCCATCAAAATGCTATGTGGTAAAGGCAGTGTTGATTCTCTGAATTCCAGATGCCAGTGTCACCCTCTCACAACAGGAAGGTATCAGCCCACAAGACTGAGGGAAAGGGCACACCAAGGTTGGCAGAAGCACAAAGGTCCTGAGAAAAATGACCTAAAGGGGATAGCACCCAAAACACTTCAGTGAAGGAACACACTCAGTACCGGGCCATGGGATGTTGACAGCCAGGGTGGGGAAGGCAATGGCATACCCAGGGCAAAAGTGTGCCTGGCTAATTTGAACCAGGGCAGTGCCAGATGTGAGCCCACTAGGGCTGGAGACCCACATCTCTCATGCAGAGCCCTGAATGTCTGGGATCCATCTGCTCCACTACCAGCCTGTCTCCGGGCACTTGATGAATAAAGGTCCAGGGAACCCTGCACGTCTCTGCTACCCTTGGATTCACTGAGGTTTTTGCCAGATGTGTTTCACTTGCTGCCTCCTACTTGACTCTTTCTGCCAGAGTTTTCCCAACCTCCCCCCCGAAATCAAATGCCCTTCTCTCTCTTGTCCATACATCCCGTTTTACAACCGGGAGAGGGTCTTTAGCAACACACGCAGACTTCTCAACATATTTAAGTTAGTATTTGCAGATGTGTGTGCGTGTTTAATCCCGTGGACCTGAGCTGCAGACCTTTTAGGTACCTAGCACTGCCCCGGCTTTGAACCCTTGAAAAGGAGTCTTCCAAACAGGACAACGATTTGATGCAAACTTCCCTGCTATTTGGCCCCCGCGCTGCACTTAAAAGGAAGCAAAGCTCCGGCCCAGGGTGCTTTTCGCATATGAATGACTGGCGCACGCCCTCTGGCGGCCACAGAGAGAAACGCAGCCTCGGAGGGGCGTGGAAACGGTCGGATAGTCCCCTTGAAACCGAAAGTGGACTGCTCGCGTCTCACCAGAATTTGCAAAAGCGGATCTCCTTCTTCTGGGAAAGTCGGGCTGTAGGTAAGACCGCGGTGTTGGGGTGCCGCGGGGAGTAATTCAAAGGGGAAAAGGAATGCGAGGGCCATGGAGGGCGGCGGGTCGCTTAGGAAGAGAAGGGATGGTGGGATGTCTGTCCCGCCACCCTCGGCGGTGGGGAATCAAGATGGGGAGAGGAGTGCAAGTAATAGGGGCATTTATTTATTTTATTATGGATTGATGGATTTAGGATTTTTGTTTTCCCTCTTCACAGTAACCAATAGGTTGGCCGTATGTGCGGGAAAGATCACCTCCACCCCCATCGCGCGTTTTGCATGCTTGAACTCCCATGTATCAGTAGGGGCTGGTTAGGAAAAAGTAGTTGCTTCTGAAAAAATCATACTGGTGAAAGCAATTCTAAGAGCGCGATTGTGTTCGTCCCTTGCGGCAAAGCCACGAAATAATAATAATACCGACGACGACCCCCCCCCCCCCAATAATAGAAAGACGTGCATATGAGGAAGTGGGCTCTCGGAAGCTTTCGCCGTGTTTAGAGCACACTCCTGGAGTCTTCTCAGAAGTAAATGCCCTGAGTTCAGTGCAGCTTACTGCTAAGTAAAGGGCACAGGACTGCAGCCTGTGTCGAAGATCGCACTGTGCCTGCACGGACAGGAAAAACGACCGAACGTGCTGGGAGTTGGAGGACTTTCTGTCAAGACATCCATAGGAGTGTACCCTGAAAGTGTTAATGTTCTAGGTGACAAGACTCTTGGTTGCCTAAGGCTGAAAGCCTGTGCTTATTTCTTTGGGAAAGAGTCTCACTGAACTCGGTGGGATTTGCTTCTGAGCCAACACGCATAGCATTGTACTGTTAGTGAACTTCAAACCAGGCCCATTTTAGAGGTGACAACTGAGGCAGTGGGTGCACCTGCTTGAATTTCAAAAGAACCTCCACTCGGTTAAGCTCCGGGCAGGGTGTTGTCACTGCACATTTTTTGCATTGCACCTTGCTTGCTGTGGCTTGTGTGCCCTATCAACCCAGGCAGCAGGGGTTGTTTGAGGGTCAGACCACCTTCACACAACACTGAATCAAGCCATGCGTTATCTGAGGCGCCTCTGACTCTCATACAAGCCGTGCTGCCTGGGTTCACACAACTCGGCAAGCTGGGTGCCCAACATGAAGCAATAAAGGCTGTTGTGCCCAATATCTCTTTAGGCCCACTGGTTTTGTGGTTCAAAGCTTTGGTGTCATTTTGGGAGGGAAAAAATTGCCTTTCAATTATGACAACAAAAGTCTGTTGCCACTAGGAAAAGCCTGGGAAAATAGCATGGTCTTAACTTGGTGCCAGCCCTGGGGAAGGGATTCCACAGCCAGGGTGCCACTGATAAAAAGGCCTCTCCTTAATAGCCACCTGCCTGACTTCATTTGGCAAGGGCACACAGAAAGCCTCTGAAGATGGCCCTAGGCAAGTATATATTGGTATGTGGATATATATTTAAATAACCAGCAATTCCATCCCTCCCCTCTCCACAGACGCCGCCACCATGACGCTGCCCCCTGCCTTGTGGCAGGCTGCCTCCCTGCTCCTCTGTGATGCTGTCCTGCTTGCCTTGCTGGGTGTGGGGTGGCTCTCTCTGACTGCCCTGGGGATCCTAGGCGCTTGGCTGGAGGCAGGCCTGCGCCTGCTGGTTCTCTGGGGGGCCCGGTGGCTGCTCTCTCTGGCTTGGCCCTCCCGGATTCCCCCTGCAGCAGTGGCCACCGGGAGTCTGCTGCCCCCTCTCTACCTCTCAAGCCAACACTTGATGGGGAATCCCCCTTTCCTGCTCTCTTCAGCCCCCTGGTCCTGGCTGCTGTGTGGGTACGGCGTGGTGGGTCTGTCCCACCTCATCTGGGCAGGTCTGGGGCATGGGGGCAGCACAGAGGGAGCAAAGGAAGAAGACAGGGCCACCTTCTGGAAGCTGATGAGGCTCTTCCGCCCGGATGCACCATATCTTGGTGGTGCCTTCGTGTTCCTCACTATAGCAGTGATTGGTGAGTAGAGTGTGCGTACATGTGTTTGCATGAGAGCCAGAGAGAGATGCTTTGGAAGCGACATATAAACTTTGCCCCCCTCTCAAATAAAGAAGTGGTTTTGCAAACCCCTGCTCACTCCAAGTTAATGCAGGCAAAATTTGATTTTTTACCTGTTTTTTTCCTTCTCACATATACTATGCTTTTATTTGATTCTGCTTTTTAAGTTTTCGCTTTTTTTAGAAACTGGCTTGGTAGACAAAGAAGACAGTATAGAAATGCAAGAAATATATAACAATTTAAAACTGATTTGAATAGATAAAACAATCTCAGGACTGTTATTATCAAATTGCAATGGCCCAAGATATTTTTCTGCCTGAAGCAGAGCACTAAATGCGCTTCTGTTTATTTAGTGCTGGGCCAACACTTTGAAAGTCTCACTACACCAGTTCCTTCCTGCCTTCCTTTATCTCTTTCTGTTCTGCCTCCTAAATTGGGCTCCCTTACCTTTCTGCGTGAGAAGTCTGTCCCTGTTGGTGAATAGCAGCCTCTGTCCATATGAGCCTTCTCCAGCCTGGGGCCATCCAATGGGTGTGCTTTTTGGGGATCAGAAATGTAGAATCATAGAATAGTAAAGTTGGAAGGTGCCATGAAGGCCCAGTGTGGGAGAGCCCACCGCCTCCCCGGGCAGCTGGTTCCACTGCCGTATTGCTCTGACAGTGAGGAAGCTTTTCCTGATGTCCAGCCTGAATCTGGGTTGTCATAATTTGTATTAATGATTCCATGTCCTACACTCTGGTATCAGCAAGAAGAGATCTTGACCTTCCTCTTTATGAATATCCGAAGGACTCCAGCTTGAGGGGCAGCAGTATGTATGAACATGGAATTCCATTCTGTTGAAGGTGCTAAAAAAGAAGACAAAATAATAGCCTTCAGTTTTTTTCTAATTAAGTTTCTTCAGAGCCATGGAGGGAAGGGTCATGTTAGGCCTGAATCTAGCGACAGCTTTAAGCAATCTCTGCTGCTCTTACAGACCCAGTTGTCATGCAGTGACATCCCTGAATACAAATTGAATATGGACTGTTTTTGAATTATGGACTGTTGCTGAATTGTTGATTGTTGTTACATGCTAATAATCCACGTTGGCTTAGTTTTGGGTTGTCAGCCATGAATGACTCAGAGTTGACAATTTGACAATAAGCCATAGATTCTTTTCCTGGGTTGTCCATGATTAAAAAGAGCCAGTGTGGCGTAGTGGTTAAGAGCATGGGACTGGGACTCAGATGACCTGGGTTCAAGTCCCCGCTCAGCCATGGAGCCAACTGGGTGACTTTGGGCCAGTCACAGACTCTCAGCCCAACCTACCTCACAGGGCAGTTGTTGTGGGGATAAGATGGAGGAGTACGATGTAAGCTGCCTTGAGCCCTTTGTAGGAAAAAGGAAGGATATAAATTGAAAAATAAATAAAATAACCCATTGTGCAGAGTTTGCACAGAATAATGATCCATGGTTCAGCAACAACCCATGACATTATACCTCTAATTCTTTTGTTCATCTGTCATCCTTGATCTCTCTCTGCAGGTGAAACATTGCTCCCATATTACACAGGGCGCTTGATTGACATCTTAGGCACCAAATATGACTTGGATGCCTTTACCTGGGCAATCTTTCTTGTGTGTGTAGTGTCAGTTGGAGGGTGAGTTTCTTCTTGACCTTTGTCCATGTTAGGTATAATTAGAAAAGGAATTGAAAATAAAAATGCCAAGATCATACTCTACTTATAAAAATCAGCACCACTGCACTCAGAATATTGTGTACAGTTGTGGTCACCTTACCTGAAGGAAGGACATTAATGAGTTGGAGAAAGTGCAGAGAAGGGCAGCAAAAATGACCCAGGGCTGGAGCATTTCTGCTGTGAGGAGTGGCAACAACAACTGGGGCTATTCAGCTTTTTAAAAAGGCAAGGAAGGGAGATGCGATAGAGGTGTTTAAAATAATACATGGTGTGGAGAAATTGGAGAGGGAGGCATTTTCTTCCCTCTTCCATAATATTAAAATCTAAAGGGCTCATCCTAGGAAGTTGATTGGAAGAAGAGGTATTTAGATAAAGGAATTTTTCACATAGCAGATAGTTAAACTATGGAGTTCCCTTCCATGAAAGGGATGGCCACCAATTTGGATGTGTTTAAAAGGGGACTAGACAAATTCATAGAGGAGAAGGGTATCAGTGGCTACTAGTTCACTTGGCTGTATGCTGCCCCCTCTACAGAAGCAATATGCCTATTGGTGGGGAACTTGTGCAGGAGGGTGCTGTTGCATTCGTGTCCTGTTTGTGGAATCCTGTAGGCAAGATTGCTATTGTGAGAACGGAATAGTGGCCTAGGTGGAGACCTGGTCTGATCCAGTGCTATTCCTCTTATGTTCTTTTGATCCATCTTGCTCTCTGCTACTTCTGTCCTAGTTCTTTCTCTGCTGGCTGCCGTGGTGGCCTCTTCACGTTGTCCATCTCCAGAATGATCATTCGGATCCGTGGCTTGCTCTTCTCTTCACTGGTGCAGCAGGACCTGGCTTTCTTCCAGGAGGTGAAAACAGGTAAGAGTCCAAGAACTAACTTGATCATGCCTATCAGTCTAGTTTCCTTTTCTGTGGTGTATGTGCTGAACAAAGTCCATGACCAGTGGTTAATCCTCTCATTTGGTCTATTAAGGTTGAACCTTTTTCATGAGTGGGAGAACTGAGGTTTGGTGAGCAAGATCTTCCATGTGGCTTGCCAGAAAGCACGGGTTTGAACCCAAGTCTCCCTGCTGAGCTTCTCAAAGCATGCTATTATAGGAACATAGAAACAGAATGAGTCAGAAGGGACCTTCCAGGCCATTTAGACTGACCCCCAGCTACAGCCAGCTCTGCTCATGACTTACCTACCAGGTGCATGTCCAGCCTTGAACACCCTCACTGATAGGGTTTCAACCACCTCCCATGGAAGCCCCTTCCATTCCCTCGGGTCCTAACTGGCAGGAAGTACTTCCTAGCATCCACCTTGAATCTTGGTTCCTTGAGCTTTGCTCTACTGGAATGTGTCCTGCCCTCAACTGCAGGGGGAAAAAGGGTTACCACCTGCTTCTGCAAGACACCCCCTCATGTACCTTTATAGCTGTTCATATTTTCTGTATTCATCAAAGGTGTTTATGCATCCATCTATTTCTCCATTCAGCCGTATGCCTAGATATTCGCACACTGCTCATCTCTGTCTTTCTCCTTTTATAACACACCTGTTTTTCTTTTTTCTTCCACCTATATGTGTCCACAAGCACCTTTCTGGTAGATCAAGACTGAACTGTCATGACAGTAGAAACTAATTTCAGAGCCAGAGTGATGTAGTTCAAAAGCAGTATCTTATTTTAATTTCTCCCATCTATCACTACATAGCCATATGGCCAAATGACCTTGGGTAATCACCCTTTCATGGTCTGACCTACCTTCCAGGTTTGTTGTGAATGTAAAATAGAACAGTAAGAAGGGGCATTTCACCTCACAACGAACCTGAGAGTTCAGTAAGACCAAGCGGAGAGTGCCCAGCCCAAGGTGGCTATAAATGTCAACATATATAGTCTGTTTTACTGTACAGACCCTGCATTGAGCAGGAGGTTGAACTAGATTATGTCTGGAATCCCTTCCAAATCATATTTATATGAATAAAATAGCAATGCAATGAGAAATAACTCTGACAGACTCTTTTTCCTTTTCTTTTGTAAATGCTGCTTTTTAAAAAAAGTTTGGTTAGGGGGAAATTTTTTTTAAAGAAATAACTCTAAATGTTGAGTCCTGTTGAAGAATTTTCAGACAATCCTATTAAGCATTAGTGTGGCCACTTCAGGACTCACATAAGCCTGTAATGAATCATATATGGGAGGGGGTTGTATGGAGGAATGGATGGAAGGGAATAGTTAGGTAGGACTTGGATTAGGAGATGCATTCATCCCAGTTTGCTCTTCAAATTTTCATTCATTTTATTACATTTCTACCCAACCCTACAGTCAAAGTTCTCTGTGAAACTTAAAAAGATTAGAAACTACTAAAAACATAATATGTACAAAACCCATTCACATACTAACATATAAACCAAAAACACATATACAGGCACATGTATATCTAAACTATGAAACAATAAGATCCGTATTAAAAGCTTACCGTAAGCTGTCAGATCCTTGGGGGAAGAGGAGGGCCTTAAGGTAGCACTGAAAAGGTAACAGTGTTGGTGCCAGGTTGGTCTTGTTGGGAGATTAATGCCATAATTGAGGTACAGATAAATTGTTGAGCATTAACCCTTGGCAATTATCAATGAAACACACGCTTGGAGGACTTCAGCACCTACCCTAAGATCTACACACAGTGAGACAGTGAAAGCTTTCAGAAATGTTTACATACAAGAGGCATTTCAAATAATACTTTTAAGGGATTTCAGAAGTTATTAACCAAAATACAGAATCTGATAATTTTTAAAAAATGAGACTGGCTTTTCCCAAGTCAAACCATTAAATACATCTGTTTCAGTAGCTTTTATTCTTATGGACATTATTTCTCCAGGATCATAATGCTTTCCCATTACCCCTTTAATTCAGAGATGTTGTACCCCAGGCCAATGAACCAAATTATTGTTCTTGCATTTATATTGTATCTTTTTCCACTTGCAAGGAATCAAAGGCAGCTTATGTAATCCCCCTCCTCTCAATTTTATCCTCCAACAAGCCTGTGAGGTAGGATAGCATGAGACTTAATGACTGGCCCAGAGTCATCCAGTAAGTTCTTACCCAAGCAGGGGCTAGAACCTGGATCTCCAGAGTTCCAGTTCAACACTTGACCCACAACACCAACACAATTTTTGATGGCTTCATGGCATTTACACTCCCCTCCCCCACACCTTTCAAAAAGGTTGAATTGACTCTCTTAACTATTCGGATTCTAACTGAAATATGCTGGTAGTTTTGGATATTTTGGCCTGTCCCCTTTTGCATTTGGTTTCTTCCACTGGTGGAATGTACCCCTCCTCCTCAAGAACTGCTCTGAAATTGATTTCAGCCATCAGGCTGAAAGAGGTTGGAAAGGGACTAAATCTGGGACAGCTGGCATACACTGACCCAAGAGCCATTTTTCTGGGTGGGTTATCCTGCTTAATATACCCCTGCCCCACCACAGAACGTCCCATTTCACTGCCTTCCCATTTTGCTTTGACACCATTAGTGTATTATGGCTCTTACCAGCCTCCCTCTCTTTGCCCTGCAGGAGATCTGACCTCTCGCCTCTCCAAAGACACAACCATGATGAGCGATGCAGTGCCGCTCAATGCCAACGTCTTTCTGCGCAGCCTGTTCAAGGTCATTGGGCTGTATGCATTTATGCTTCGTCTGTCATGGCGCCTTACAGTGCTGACGTCCATTGAGGTGCCAATCATGCTGGCTGCCCAGAAGTTCTATGATGTCCGTCACAAGGTATGGGATGGCATTATGGGGCGGGAGGTGGCCCGGTGCTGGAAAGCAGTTGCCACAGGACAGTGTGAATAGGAGTCAAGCTACTTCTTACCTTTAGGGTTCATCCTTTGAATGTCTGTCTAGACATAAGTCCTACAATTCCCTACATCCCCCAGCCAGCTTGCAGGAAAGACAGGGCAGCTTACGTAGGCCTCCTCTTCATTTTATTGTCACAACAACCCTGTGAGGAAGGTAAGGCTGTGAGTCAGTGACTGGCCCAAAATCACCCTGTGCACTTCATGGTCAGGTGAGGACTAGAACCCAGGCCTCCCAGTCTAACACTCTAACTGCTACACCACAACTGGCTCACACTGGATTGTGCCCAAAATATATACAAGTTGCAAATCCAGGTTTTCTCAGGAAGATTTTTTTTTCTTAAAAAAATGCACACATTCAGCTTTTCAAAACCTTAGTAGTATATTAAATTACTGAAGTAATCAGCCAACATGCACAATCTGTAATTTTAAGGAAAAGTTTTAAGTATGTGACTGATCATTTTCTTTGAATAAACTAGTTTCTTTTTTAATGCTAAATGATAGATTTTGGAGCATTTTGATCAAGAAGTACATTCAGTTCATTTTAATTTTTGTTATTTATCTTTCCCTTATCGAAGGAGCTAATTTTAGTCCCACAACAACCCTATGAAGTAGGCTAGGCAAAAACAACTGACCTTGAACCTTGCACTTGGGCATCTTTACAAGCTCACCTGGTAGCTGGCACCACTATGGTGCTGAATGCTGATGCTAAAATTCATACATTTGTATTCTTGCGGGTTTCTCCAGCGTTTGCTGCAGGCAATCCAGGACTCCATAGCATGCTCTGGAGAAGTGGTGCGTGAAACAGTTTCTTCAATTGAGACGGTGCGCAGCTTTGCTACAGAGGGAGAGGAATCGCAGCGCTATGATGCAAACTTGAATAAGACCCACCAACTCAAGAACCAGAAAGATATGGAGAGGGCTTTCTATTTGCTCATCCGACGAGTGAGTCCTCAGGGTACTGTGGAAAGAGGGCTAGGGGAAAACATAGATCTTCTAAATGACAGACATGCCATTTTGGGATGGATATCAGCTTTCTGTTAATTTAATGAGGGCAGCATCCATGGTGGCTGCCTGTAACTCTCTAGACTCAGAGAATTATAGGCGTCCAATTGAGTTTCTACCATTCAACCATCTATGTTTTTGTGATTGCTTGTGAGGAGGAAGGGCTGAGACCCTGCAAGGATACATAATCTCTCCTTCACCCCCACCAGAGCTCCCCCCATGCTGGCTCTGAAATCCTATTGTATTCTCAGAACAACAGCCAGCTCCAAAGGAACCAGCTGGGAGGGTAGAGAGAGGCACTCTGCATGCAGGGCACCCTCCCTCCACCTGCAGAGTCCCAGCTCTGACCTTTGGACATATTTCCAAGGTCAAAGCTGAGACTCCGGTCTCTTCCATGGCAGTCAAGGCAGCATCTAGAAGCTGCAGGATTGTGCCTTTGGTGTATTTCTGTTGCTGCTCTAAAGCTCTCTGGGTGGCTAGCAAACTAATGCAACTTTCAAATATAGTATGGTACAATAAACATAATTTAAAAGAAAATATAATTGCAACATGGATTTTAAAGTGAAAGTGCCAAATTAAAAGATTTAAGTTATTTAATGGGTCAGCCCCTCTTGAACGTACACTTGATGTGGTGAACAGATGAGGGTGTTAAAGAAGTATATTTAGTCTTTTCTGGAAAACCCACATCACTGCAAGTCAACAAACCCACAAGAGGACCAAGAGAAAATGCCTAGAGAAATGAGGCCTATTTATTCTTGTTTAAGGGCATCCCTGCCTATTGGAAACTGGCAACAGAAAGAAAGAATGAGCAGGCTAATCATGTGATAAGTTAGTCATTCAGCTCTGAATTCCCCCCACCCCCCGCCATTTCTCTCCCTCTTCCTAGCTGCTTCACTTGGGCCTGAAGCTGATCATGCTTTACTGCGGGTACCAGCAGATCCTTACCGGCCTCGTGACCAAAGGGAACTTGGTTTCCTTCATCCTGTATCAGATGGAAGTGGGCATATATGTACAGGTGGGTGAAAAGCCACATGATGGCATTGCAATTGGAACTGGCAATGGAACTGAACAACTGTCCATGGGTTGTTGCTGGGTTAACTTTGGGTTGTTTGATGGGGTGGATTGTTGATCAAATGTGGAAGTGACAAGCATACAGCTCACATGCTCTGAGCATCCCCACAGTTTCTGGGTTTAACAACCAGGGAATTTGGTAGCAACACATGTGAACCTACACACCTTCAGGTCACTATACTTGACAGAACACCTCTCCCAATCACTAGCTACTGGGACACTGTGCTCAACATCTGAGGGCTTCCTTTAAGGCCACCTCCGATGGCCTTCTCTGTGTCAGCCTTCCAAGGATGGAGCAATCTCCCCACCAGCTCTGTGCTTCTTTCAGCACCAGATCAGGCCATCCTTTATGCTGAGTCATTTAACCGTTCTAAATAGCACATAAGGAAGTGGATTGTAGCAACTGTTTTGACAGCCCTAGTTGTAATAACGTGATCAGAGTTTTTTTAAAGTTGTTTAAAAATGTGTTTTTAAATTTCTAGTGAATTTACATATTTTGATGTTATTTACATTTTATAGTGGGTTTTCTGAATACTGCTTAGAGAGCTTCGGCTGTTGGCACAATAGAAAGAAATAGAACAGACACATAATAACTAGGTTAATAATTTTTCTCTCAGGTTAGTTCCCCCTAAACTGCACCGCAGCCAATCCCTCACAACCAGGAACAATAACTGTACAGCAGGTCTCCTCTGTCTCCAGCTTTTTTTTTTTTTTTTTTGCTACCTCTGGCTTCTTAGATGGTTCTTTTTTAAGGACTCCTCACTGAAGCTGCTTTGACAAAATTGCAGCCTCTGCTGTCTGCTTGATTCTTCACCCTAACCATACATTATGACTTCTCTCAGCTACAAGTTCCAGTATCCAGATTCCCCCTTTTCCTCCAACTTTATCCCTTCAACCAACAACCATGAATTTTCTTCCATCTACCTGATCCTTAACCAGACCTTTTGCAAATGTCATGACCTATCATGTTCCCTATGAAACCCCAGACCACCTTTGTTGACCCACCTAAACAATCTAAAGCACATTACAGATGGACTATTGTAACGTGGTTTACATGGAGCTGCCCTTGAAGATGGTCTGGATACTTCAGTTGGTTTAGAATAGAGCAGCCAGGATGTTAACAGGGACTAGCAGAAATGTACATATAACGCTGGTCCTACACTGGCTGCCCATTGAAGTCTGGGCCCAATTTAAGGTGTTGATATGACTTAACAGCTTAGGACCTGGATATCTGAAGGAGCACCTCCTTCCATATATACCTGCCCAACCCTTAAGATCTAGGTCAGAGGTCCTTCTTCGGAAGCCCTCCTTGAAGGAGATTAGTAGGATGGTTACCTGAAGAAGGGCCTTCTCTGCAGTGGCGCCCCAGTTATGGAATATGCTCCCCAGAGAGGTTTGCCTGGTGACACTTTATTCTTTTTGGTGCCAGGCCAAAACCTTTTCATTTTCCCAGTATTTTAAGGTTTAGATTATGATTTTAGTTGGGGTTTTATTGTACAGAATTGATACTGTGCAGTTCTTTGTTTTTATTGTAAAACTGTCTTGAGACTATTTGGTAGAAGACAGGATAGAAAAGTTTTAAATAAATAAATAGAGCAATATAGCTTTCCCCCTTTTTAGCTTCAAAGCAATTGAAACTAAAATAGTCACAACTGTTTTAGCCCCAGTAGAGAGAAGCATTAGTTAGACTTGTGGCCTACTTAGTTACATTGTTAATATCCTTCAGGTAGTAGCCAAAGGATAAACCTCAATACAGTGCTTTTCCATAGATGCCCACAAATGTGAAGAACATGAATTTTGGGTTCAAAGTGTGGATGTGAATCTTAATTCTAGAATGTGATTCTCAGAAGTGTGGGTTTGAACAATATTCAAATATCTGCAGATCTCTCTGCACCACTTTCTCATCCACACGCTAAAACGTCCTCAGCTGCTCACAACATATAGTTAGACTATGGAATCTGCTGTCATGGGAAGTGGTGATGGCCACCATTTTGGATGACCAAAATCCAAAGGGATTGGACAGATTCATGAGGGAGGTGGCAATTAGTGACTACCAGGCTTGCTGGCCCTGTGTTGCCTCCTTTATCAGAGATGGCAAGCCTGCATGCCTCAGTTGCTGAAGAGCTTGGGCAGGTGGAACTCTTGTACCCATGCTGCTTGAGGGATCCTGTGGACAGCAGGCTTGCCATTATGTGTACAGAGCCCTCCATTGGATGGACCACTGGTCTGATCCAGCATGGCTTATGTTCTTACGCTATTTTGGTCTGCCCACTTTTCTCCCTCTCACAGACCCTGATGTACATGTATGGAGATGTGCTGAGCAATGTGGGTGCTGCAAAAAAGGTCTTTGAGTACCTTTACCGACAGCCAGCAATTTACACAGAGGGGATATGGGCTCCAAAATTCCTCGAAGGACATGTCTCATTCAGAAGCGTTTTCTTTGCTTATCCTTCCCGACCCGAAATCCAGGTCTTACAGGTACTTTAAGTTAAAATGGCAAAGAGTCTTGGGATATGTAATTGGGGAGGAGAATGTGGGAATAGAGACTCTTGCCTCTAAAACAAGCGCTGCTGTACTCTGATCTGCACTCAAATTCTGTAACCTATATGCACTTGTTGTATGTGCTTGTGTGTTTTACATAACTCTACACAGTCCCATTTCTAGCAAAGCAATGGCTACAACTGCCTTGTGAGGTAGACCAGCTGTATACCTGCCTAGCATCTTGGGGTTTTTTTTTTTTTTTTGTCCACCACCTGCTTTTTTATCCTTTAACTCTGGCCAGGGAGTAAATCTAGAGTTCCAGTCTGGTTATTTGCTGGAAGCAGTACTGACCAGCAAGAACCCTTCTGTCACCGCGGGCTGCAGGGCAGCTTGCTTTTCTCTTATCTCTCATTAAAGTGGGGGCCGAGTCCACCCTTCCTGGCATCCCAGTCTGACAATTTGGGGTCTCTGGGTGGCCACACCCCTCTTGCTGGTCTGCAGGTTTTTGCAGTTCTGAAACGTCTCTCCTAATGCTTAGCTAAAAGTGGTAAGACTTTTAAGCTAGGGCATGCTGGAAATTTTGCTATTTTGGCTTCACTGCTTTACCTGTGATTCTGCTGCTCACTGGAATGAGGCTCCTAAGGGCTTCTTCAGAATGGAATTCAACCCTGCAGCTGAAAGATATTTCCCACCTCTTCTTTCAACAAAGGTGCATAGTATGGTAGAATCTTAAGGCTGGCAGGAGGAAAATAATCTCTTGTGTCTGTCTCTCCAACCTCCAATTCTAAACCAAAGAAAGGATTTATTAAGGGAATGAGAGGAAGAACAAAGGAAAAGCAGAAGGGAAGCTCATGAAAATTAAAAAAAATATGTTAACCCATGCTTAGACTGTTAGAAGGGAAGCCATCACACAATGCAGGGACTACATTGTGTAGACTGGCATTCTTGGATAGCTAAAGGGATGTTGTTGTTAGTCGCAAAGTCGTGTCTGACCCATCGTGACCCCATGGACAACATTCCTCCAGGCCTTCCTGTCCTCCACCATCCCCTGGAGTCCACTTAAACTCTACCAACTACTTCAGTGACTCCATCCAGCCACCTCATCCTCTGCCGTCCCCTTCTTCTTTTGCCTTCTATTGTTCCCAGCATTAGACTCTTCTCCAGGGAGTCCTTCTGTCTCATACAGGGGACGTAATTAATTAGGTTTAGGTGCAAGTTTTTAAGGTAGTCATCCTAAGGCGTTTAGACAGCACCAGAGGGGCTATAGCCTCCACTGCTGAAGAAGTGCAGTGCACCTGCCACTGCAGCAACAACTGTAGGGCCACCAGTGCCACTGTGAGTAGCATAGCATCACCAAATAGTCCATGGCACTGCCATAGATGTTGCTGCCATTTGTGCCTTCATTCCCCTTCTCTAAACCCTCCTTGGTAGCAATGCCTGTCAAGATTGAGGAAGCTAAAGGTGAAATATGCATTTGGTTCATGAGGGCTCTTTGATCCACTTTAAAAGAAAACTCTCAGTTTGAGTTGATCCTATCAACAGAGAAACCGACCCTGCATAGTTCTGGCAGGAAGAAAGTACTCCTTTGCAGTGTTTCTGTGGTACCCTGGTATATTTTCATACACTAGGATACTGCAATTTGTTGCTGTTCAGTGTTGTTTCCCTGGCAGCTGGGAGGGGATGTCTAGGGGGTGGGAATGTCTAGGAGTAGTCATCTCATAATAGCTGCTTATTGGATTGAATCCAAATTTAAGCTGGAGCAACTACATCGCTGGGAATGGGCTTCTGCTTTCCCTCCCTGACATGGCAGCTCTGCCAGTCTGCTGAAGATGCTGTACACAAGGAGATGGGAGACCCTGCTGGGTGGGTTGAATGGAGAAGGAGGGGGAACACCCCCAAATTAGTCCATGGCAGAAGACAGATCCTGCATCCAGCTCTGTGATTTTTTTGCCTGTTGTAGAACGTCTGCTTAGAGCTCTGCCCGGGAGAAGTGACCGCTCTTGTGGGCCTGAATGGAAGTGGCAAGAGCACCTGTGTGGCCCTCTTGAAGCATTTCTTTGAGATCGAGGAAGGGGAGATTGTGCTGGATGGGACCCCGATCCAGGAGTATGAGCACAAATATTTCCACAGGCGGGTGAGGAGCCACTGAGTATGGCTGAGGTCAACAACCTGACACTGTATGCACACTCTCGTCACCTTCTCATGTAACTGTCTGGTAACTAATTTGGTGCTGAGGGAATGGCAATTTTGCATGTTGCAAAATGGGCATCATATTTAAACAGGTGATACAATGTGGAAGAAGAAGACCAAATAAAAACCATGAAGTAATTAAGATAACAAAACTTAAGCAAGAAGAAATAGCCCCCCCCCCCCCACAACCAACTGTGATTGCAACATGGCAGCCACAATCCGCCTGTTTCTAAGGATATGTGTGCTGGCATGCAGCGAAGGAAAGCACTGTTTCCAGACCTTTCCTTTGTTATTTCTTCCCCCCACCCCCATTTTCTTACTATTTTTCTCCCTTCACTGTCCCTGGCTGGTTTTTTTTTCCTCCTCAAGTCTTGCTCTTTACCCAGCTTCAACTATTTCCCCCCACAAGTACATCTTCGGCGCCCTGCTTCTCCCTCTCCCAACCTCTAGCCTTGCTGAGACTTTCACCATCTCTTTACCATGCTGTTTCCCTGCTTCCAAGCCTCAAGGCTTATTCTCTCTTTCACTCCCCTCTGCCCCCTTGCCTTCCTGTTTCCCCTTCCCTCCCAGCCTCTAGTCCCAGTATTTCTCTCCCCACCCCTCCTTAGTTCTCCTCTGATGAGTCAGGCCCCCACAGGAGCCATCATGGTATTTCCCACTGTCTCTGGAAGCTACTTTGTGATGATGCCTCTGGTTCCAAAAAGCTTGAAATGGAGTGTTTTGCTTGCTTATACAACGAAACCTCTATTAACAAAAGCCAAAGCACTATCGGCATAATCTGTGCAGACTATAAACACTCAATGATCTTGCCAAAAGATGGGTGCATGGCATAACCCAGCCTTAGCATAGAAACAAATGCTTGACCATGCAGGAATTTCCTGTAGGCTTAGCATGACCCTTATCTTGCCTTTGCCTCCACCCTGCTGCCCAACCCACTCCTAATAGCTATACCTCATTTTGCCTGCAGGTGGCACTTGTGAATCAGGAGCCTGTCCTCTTCTCTGGGTCCATCTGGGATAATATTACCTATGGGATGGAGGGCTGTACCAAAGAAGAAGTGGTTGCTGCAGCAGAAGAAGCCAATGCACTGGGATTCATCAGTGAGCTGGAAGGCGGGTTCAATGCAGGTGCATAAAATCTCTTCCTGCTCCATTCCAACTCTGTTGAATGCCACACTGCTTCCAGAAAATCCATCAGTTTCCTCTCTTTAGCTCCAGCCTTCAGGGTAGGTTGGGGACTAAATGACAAGACTAACACTAGTATTTAATTGGTGGTTTCTGGAACTGCTACCTGAAAGATGTGGCCACAGTCACTAGTGTAGGTTGTATTTTTTTGAAAGGGTGACACAGAGTCCTGAGATTGGGAAGACAAGGGTTCTAGTCTCCACTCAGCCAGTCACTGACTCTTAACCTACCTCACAGGATTGTTCTGAGGATAAAGGGAGGAGGAGAATTATGCAAGCTGCCTTGTGTTCCTGCCTCACTCAGAGGAGACACTTAGAGAAGGGGTAGATTTAGCACAGTGTATGGGATTCATATCTGGGTGGTGCTTTGTGAGGTATTGTGGTCCTGATTTGTGTGGGTTGATTTATAGGTCTTTTAGAGGTCTATTATAGCTAGAGATAGGACTTTATACCTCGGTTTGTTTATTTAGACAGCTTATATTCTGCCCCCATCGCATAAGCCTCAGGGCGGCTTACAATCATAAAATTCCACATATAAATACAAAAAAATTCATTGAATAAATAAAATACATAAAATAAAATAAAGGATACAGCCTGGTCTGTTTAAAATCAACAAATCAACCTTAACAGTTAAAAGAGTATTTGAATAAAAAGGTCTTGGCCTGGCGCCAAAAAACAATGATTAAGCTAGTTACGAACCCACCATCAGCAGTGTATGCCAAGAAGAGTTTGGGATGTCAGTGTCATCTGCTCCCTGTCTCTCTGCTATCTACCATTCAGATGTAGGGGAGAAGGGAGGCCAGCTGTCTGCCGGGCAGAAGCAGCGTCTGGCAATTGCCCGGGCCCTGATCCGGAAACCAAAGGTCTTGATACTGGATGAAGCCACAAGTGCCCTGGATGTGGAAAGTGAAGCTGCGGTGAGTTCATGGTGGGGTAGAAAATATTCGATTACCTCATGTACAAGGTTTGGTACTATAAAGAGTGCCAGCCCTGGTGTGAGGGAGGTGGCTTAATTTAATATCTTGTTTTTTTATTTAAACATTGAGGGCGAACGGAACTTGCATTTGATGCCAAAGTGCCTATTATTGAAACCTGTGTGGTAGTAGTTCAATTTAGAGGCCTGGTGAAAACATTTATTGAAAATATTTTTAGGCTAGAGAAAAGCTGCAGATAACAAGAAACTTCAAATATTTAATGAGAGCACAGTGATAATAAGAAAAGCAATGAATATTCAGCACCCAAATATTAAGAAATCCAATAAATAATTACGAATAAAATAAATCTCATGAGAAAGCCATCAAAAGCAAATTGGTCCTGAAGTCTTTTCAGAAAGGTTCTAGTGATGTGAACTGATAAACCCCAGCTGGGTATATAGTCCACAAATTTGGGGCCACTTCAAAAAAGACGATCCCTTGTTTCTGCCAAACTGCGCCCAGAGGAAGGCACACAGAAAGGCCTTCTGTCTGGTCTCTGGAAATTGCTGTCAGTCAGCATGGGCAATGCTAAGCAAGGTGGATCAATGTTCTGGCTTGTTATAAGGCAGTCTCCTGTGTCACAGCACCCCCATGTCACATGACAATGCAGACAAGCTGAGTCAAGGAGCATGCAAGCAGGTACTGGCATGTTGTCCAACAGGAGGCAAGCATTTAATCGCATTGCAACATTCATTTATTTATTTGGGTAATTTTTACCCCATCCAATACCCAGTGGGTCTCAGGACAGCTTACAGTTCAAATCCCATAAATACATAGATACCCAAATAATACAATACAAATGATGCACAAACTGAGCATAAAAGCATAGTTAATAAAATTAAGCATTAAAAATATGGAAGAATTAAAAGGTCTTGACCTGGTGCTGATAAACATAGAACGTTGGCACTAGGCGGACCTCTCTGAGGCCCAACAACTTGAAATATAGAGACAGTTTCACATGATCCATATTTATATTCTAGCAAAGCATCACTGCTCTACACAGCACATGACAAAACATTTCTCTTTTTCAAAATAACTGCCTTAGGGGCTTCTCTTTCTTCATAAAAGTATATGTGCCTACTCTGAGTTGCAGACTGTGTGAAATGCATGATTAATTTATGTGTTTTTTCATACTCAGCATTCGTAACCAATGCTTATGAACAACGAGGGGTTGCTGGCATACTTAAAGGAATCTCATAGTTTCAGGGGGGGAATGTTTTGGGGGGGAAGGAAAGTGGGCAACCCCCCTCCATTAAATAAATGTCAATTTGCCAAAATAGCATTGTTTCTGAGCCTGATTCAAGGTGCTGGTTTTCAGCTATAAGGCCTTACACACTTTGGCACTGCAGTACCCTAGAAAGGGCCTTTTCTTGCCTAAACCCACTATGCTCAAACTCTGAGACTTTTCTCTGAGTATCACCAAATGGAAGCTCAGAGAGTTACAACAAGGGAGAAGGCCTTCTCAGTGGCAGCCAGCCAATTAATGAATTGATTTTACTGAGGTCTGCCTGGCATCAATTCTGTTGTCCTTTTAGCATCCGGTTAAGACTGTCCTCATCTCTGATGCACAATGGGGCATTTATGCCAGCCATTCTCACTTGGTCCAAATTGTATTTATTTATTTAGAATATTTATATGCTGTCCTGTCACAAAGGCCTCAAGATGGCTTACATAAATAAATAAGAATAATATAAAACATAATACAAATAAATTTAAGATCCACCCTGGCTGCAGATTAAAAACATATATAATCCAATATTAAAAGTTATTAAAATATTGTTGGAATAAAAAGGCCTATTGAAATTGTTTACCTGCTTAGAATGTATTTATATTTTGTATACTAGAAAAAGGATGGTGGAGGGCAGGAGAGCCTCAAGGAATGTTGTCCATGGAGTCGTGATAGGTCAGGCATGACTTCGCGAGGAAACAAAAATAATAGAAAAAAAATTGTTGTATTTTATTGTATTTGTAGTTCATTTTTTCCATTCTTGTGAACTGCCCAGAGAGCTTTGGTTGTTGGGCAATACAGAAATTAAATAATCGTCATCCTGGACTACATATAACATCCCCCAAATGTTGACCTAACTTAGAGGCATTGTAAAGAGCATTAATATGAGGAGCTTTGCAGACACTACAAGCTCTACAGAACTGCTTTGCATTACAGAAATTTAACTGAGAAGGAAGCTGGAGGCATGTCTGTGTGTGGGAAGAGTGGAGAGCCACGGAAAGCTCCATATTACTCTTCAAGACATCTCCTCTTCCCCGAAAGGCACATGCGTGCGCACACACTATAGAGCTAACATGAATCATTCCTTCTTCCCACAGATCCAGCAGTCCTTGCTGAAGGGCCGTTCCCGGACAGTGCTGGTGATCGCTCACAGGATGCAAACAGTGGAGAATGCGGACAAGATTGTGGTGCTGGAAAATGGGGTGATTGTTGAGGAAGGGACCCATGTCCAGCTGATGGACCTGAAGGGCGCCTATTACAGACTGGTGCAAAGGAGCCAGATGGAATGACTTTTGGAGTGATGGTGGGAGGGCACTGCTTGGCTGAACGACTGAATATCCTCTTTTGGATTCCAAATTCAGGTTTTGCAAGACTGGTGTGTATAGAGCTCATTTTGTGGCTGTGGGGAGGAAGAGAATAACTATAAGAGTGAAAGTAGAGAGTATGGCACTATACCATTGCTAAGTAGGATTCACTTGGGTATTGGCAGTGAGCTTGTAAGGTTTGAGGGGTATCAAGAAAGTATACTTTTTAACGTAAAAAGAACTTTAAAAATATTGTGGTATGTGAAAGCCTGATTTCTAAGGAACTAACTTTGTTTGGATATAGTCCCTGTGTGGAACTTAAACTGCATCTTTTAAAATATGTCTTCTTAATCTATTTTGGAAGTCTGAAAAGTCAAATATCAAGAAGAGTCTTTCTTGGTTAATTAATAGGTTCTTCCACTTAATTACATCTTTTCTTCTCTGTAAATATAGAGCCTGACACCTTCTCAGAAAATCCTGCACTTTGTCCTGCTGTGAATATGAACAAGAATAGCTATGCCTATCTGGTATGTTGTTCAGAAAGTGGCCAACCAGCAACCCCAGTGGGGAAGCGCACAAGTAGGACATGAGTGCAATGGTAGCCACACACATATTTTCCCAAACAACTGGTGTACAGAGACATACTGCCTCAGATACTGGAGGCTGCATATAATCAGGACTAGTAGCCTTATCATCCATGATCTTGTTCAAATCTCTTTTTAAAGCCATCTGAACTGAAGACCATCACTGCATCTTATGGAAATGAATTCCATGGGTAATTCCATGGTGTAAAGAAGCACTTCTTTTTATATGCCCTCTATTTCCCTTTATTCAGCTTCATAGGATGACCCTGGCTTCTGGTATTATGGAAGAAGAACAAAAATGGCTCCCTCTTTACTTTCTCTATACCACACATAATTTTATATACCTTTTCTTTCAGTAATCTCTGGGTTAAATAGTAAGTACTTTTAATAGTGACCAAGGCAGCAATCTCCTGTGCTTGACTAGGGTAATAATGACAGCAAGTGGCATACTTTTTGATGCCTGAAATCCATTTCTAGGCAATGATGGTTCCACAGAACATATAGCACTGCTTTTCCCATTAAAAAGTTGGAAATTACAGTCTAAATTCAAGTAAGGAGCTGGAAAGGAATACAGTGAGTGTGTTTGCACAACACAATAAGCCAACCTGCCCGTGATGCATCCAACAGGTGATAAGGCACATCATGGGAGGTTCACACATCATGGGTGGTGAACCTGCTTGCTCACCTTCCTACTTCCCCTCAGTCTAGCCATAGGTATCCAATAGGATGCCATGGGAGAACTGAGGTGCCCACCCATACTGTAGCAGTGAATCTTTTTCTGTTTGCTGCAGCTTTTACCCCTTTAAATTCTTTTTTCATTCAGATCACATAAGCTGACTGTGAAGCCAGTCTTTTGCAATCTCCCTTTTGGCAGTTATGAACAGTCCTTTCCAAGCCCCTCAGCAGCACATTGGAGGGGCTGCCCATGGTTTCTGAACATGTTTTTTTTTATCTTGTGTTGTGAGCCGCCCAGAGGTGCTGTGGCACAATTGGGTGGCATACAAATGTTTTAAGTAAATAAACTCCTCCCAGAGCACCCAAATAAGTGTACATTGCAGACACTCTAGGATGGTAACCCAGAGTTAGAACATAAGAAAAGCCATTCTGGGCCAGACCAGAATGCACACATTGGCAAAACAGCTACCCACGAGATCCCTCAAGCAGGATGGGTAGAAGACCTCTACCTGCCCAAACTCCTCAGCAGCTGCTGTATGCAGGCAGCCCACCTCTGATAGCCTCCTCCCTCATGAATTTGTCCAAGCTGTTTTTAAAGCTATCCAGATTGGTGGCCATCATTACTTCCCATGGCAGTGAATTCCAGATTTTACACATTGTATGTATAGAGTATAGGTATCCAGTATATTACTTTTATCTGTCCTGAATCTCCAAGCAACTTCATAGGAGTGCTAGTACGAAAGTTCCCATCATGTTCATTTTACCAGAAGGGGAACTGAGTCAGAGTGACTTGGCCAAGGCCATTGTAGTTAGTTTGTGGCAGAGGTGCAGCACTAAGCCATGTCCCTTTAACAAGGGCTCTCCTCTCCAGCCACTGCATTTTTCCAGCCTCTTGACAGCCTCAACTTCCCATCAGTTGTCATTTGTTACTCTGGAAAGAGGGGAGTTTGTGCCTAACATTCTTTCAGGGTCCCCTCAAGCTGTGGAATTTTAAGCCAAGAAATTAAATTGGGGTGGGAAGCTTTAAAACAGGAAATACGTATCCCTCCAGATGCTGTTGGTCTGAAAATTCTGTCAGACCTAGAAACAACAGCCAGTGATGAAAGATGATGGGAGCTAAAGTCTAGTCCCCTGCTTTCTTGTGACATGGTC